CAGTCTCACCAGGCTCCAGGAAATCCAACAAAATCACACCCTGCCTATCCTAAAAGACGATGCACATCATTTTCCCTGCTGATGGCTGTGTCTTGAACTTCTTTTTTCTTGGGGAATCTGAATGTTACCACTCCATGGACTGTCTTTTGGAATCTGGCTTGTAGTGGTGACACCATGTCTCATCTCCGGTGACGATGCTGTCCAGAAACTTGTCACCTTCAACCTCAAACTGGTGCAACATGTCCTGACAGACTTCCATTCGATGAGTTTTGTGGTTCTGTGTAAGCATCCGTGGGACCCAGCTGGAACAAACTTTGCGATAATCCAGCTTCCCCAACATCGTTTCCAATGCATTACAGCCGATATAAAGCCATGCACACAGTTCCCTGGTCGTTATCCGCCGATCTTTAAGGATGAGCTGATCAAGGTGCTTTTCATTGTGAGGAGTGGCAGTTGAGCAGGGATGCCCAGGGCATGGCTTGTCATGCACTTCATTTTCGCCACTGTTGAAACGCACTACCCACCACCTCACTGTGCTGACATCCACTGCATCGTCTCTGTACTCCTTTAGCAAGCGTCGATAGATGTCAATGGGTGCAATTTGTTTGGCAGTGAGAAATTTAATAACACATCTCTGTTTCATATGCACTGCTATGTCAGATGCCATTTTGGTAGACTGCTCTGCTGTTGCTATCTGTCGCATGACAACCAAACTAACAGTACATTGGCGGGAAGGTTCAACCTTTACTACAACACCACCAACATCCGGCTCAGACGTTACATATTAACACAAAAAAAAAGGAGGCATTAAATATGGAAAGCCCTTCATAGTTTAAAAGATTTTGCACTTAATTAATAATATTATAATAATATGAAATAACATTGTTTTAATAATAAAAATGAAATCTTTGCACAACAATGTTTTTGGTACTGTAAGACTGATGTCATTGCTTTAGGTCATACTATTGCTTTCCTGTTCCAAAATATGTTACATTGTGACCAAACTGGACAATATATGTCCAATGAGACATATGTGGTTCTAATATTAACCATATACAACTGACAACTCAAGCTTAAGTAGCCAAACAAGAGCTCCAAACCATAAAAAATACTGTGCCACTTCTGCAGGGAAAAAGACAATCACTCAGTGTCTGCTTCCAGTTTCAAACTAGACCACCCTCTCAGACAATACAGGAAAGATTCAAAGCCAAACAAAACCACCACCTCTACAATAAAAGCTATTCATTACTTAAAGGGGCTCATTCACCAAATAGTTCTGCACTAAACAGTGAGAAATAAATATGGTTTCTGCAGTTACATAACCAAGGCACATAGATCACTTCCAGAACTTTCTGGTAAGTATGGATAGCAAACAGAGAAGCTAAAGAACAATATGCTTATGAGAACAAGAACAGCAGAGGAAAAGATTTTGGTTTTTCCTTTCAAAGCGGAATTTTTGTATTTCTGTTAAATCCAGTTAAATACAGCAACACAACTGCTTCTTAAGTCTGAAATGTAAGTGAATATCGGTAAAGTCTGCTCCCAGAAAAACTTGATGGAAGAATCCCTCTACGAAATAATATTTGGCAGCTTTCCATTACAAAATCAAAGAAAAAGAAAAGTTTAACCATTAACCAGCTATCCACAAGCCACCTAATAGTAAGCCTTCAATGTACACTTTTTACTCACAGTATTCACACAAATTCATACGAATGAATGAACTGCATGAATGAGATGGTGCCAGTCATTTCCTAGCTTTTATACAATGTTACAGAAGTGGCATTAAACAGAACTGTTAATATAATTTAATCACTTTTAATAAATCATTTCATGGGAAATTTATTCTCAATCAGGTAATACTATCCAGTACTAGACATTAAGGAAAGTAACTTAGGGTGTATTTCACAGAATACAGTACTACAATGGGGCACATGGTAGCGTAGTTGGTTTAGGCACTATGCTACAAGCCGGAAGGTCGCGAGTTTGAGTCCCGATGAGGTGGGTTTTTTTTTCCGATTGACCTAATCCTTCCAGCCGCACTATGACCCTGGGGTTGACTCAGCCTCCAACAGAAATGAGCACCAGGAATCTTTCGGCGCATAAGGCTGACAACCCTACTGCCATCTGTGAGGTGACTGTCTACATAATGTGGGACCCTCAACGTCTCACACCCTATGGGCCTTCATGGCCTGTTACAGGGATAGTTTTAGCTTTTTTTTACAGTACTACAATACTTCTCAAGTCACCAGATATATGAGTACATCCACTCTCTAATACAGGGCATATGTAGCATCACATGCAAATATAATGCATTATAAATTAACTTGCAACAATTCATATTTCACTGTCACAAAATAGTTTCAAAGAGAAACCTTATACAGTGGACTATCCTATTCAGTGCTTGAACTGGAATATATCACTGAGCTGAACTAGTGTTGGGATGTTCTCTAAAAAACATTCTGGAATTAGAAAACTTAACAGCACAGCCAGACTCACATACTTTTATTTGGAGTAACATATTTCAGACTTTAGTTTACGCCTCTTTCTAAGGCTACCATCACAATACTTAGGGCAGAGGTTTACCACATCAGGATGTTTATGGAAAGCTAGGAACTGTAGTCCAAGAGACTTCTAATGACAGTGTGTAACAACTGATTATTTCAGTATCCTCCTTCATCCAGGTTTCCTTTTCAAAAACCATAATGTTTCAGAAAATGGTTCTCTTTCCTCTTCTGGTGACAGGGTAACATAAAGAATCCCTTGGCAGAGATAGTGTTAAATGACAGGATAAAGCAATAAATCCTACCCTACTGCCCCCCTTGACTGAGCTAGTCTCAAGTGACAGGATAACGCCAAGGAATCCTACTTTACTGACTCTCTTGGCAGAAGCAGTCTCAAATGACAGGGTAACACAAGAACTACTACATGACTGACGACCCAGGCTGAAGGAGTCTCAGGTAACAGAAATGTCAGATGGATGAAAGACACCATACAGAAGTTAAGAGGAAGAGTAATTCCACAGGACTGCACAGATGATCCCTCAAAATGTTCCAGTTAAAAGATCACATGATAATTAAAGAAAGAAATGTGAGGAATGGACCAAAACAAAAACTTATGGTCATGTTAAATTGCACTGTCCTGTAGCTTACCGACCTCCCCAATAATAAGAGGAATCCATATGGGTGAAATATCTGTATAAGGTTGTCCACACAAGCCATGTGGGCTCATTCCTTACATTCTCTGCAAATTTTGTTCCATTCTATTTGTAAAAGCCTGGCTTCCTTCCAGCCTATGTGATGACTCTCAGTTCATATGCATATTGGAGATTTGAAACAGACACCTCCCACGTATGTCAGTAGTGCCTGAGCTACTTTGCTTGGTGAAAACTGTACTGCAACTCTGAGACCTAGTGCCTTTATTTGAATAATTTCATATATAACGAATATTTAAAGAAATATAAGAAAACTAATTTCTGATCCTGGAATGCAATAACTATAGTGTGATTACCTTCATAACAGGATATTTGTATCTGAAATAACTTATCATTAAGGTTAATAATATATACAAATTAACAAGGAATACACTTAGAGAAAAAGTACTCCAGTGGAGTTAACGGTTTCACTTCTGTTACACATGTTTTATTATCAGTGTGTCAGAACTTGCCCTGTGTAATTGTGCAAAAGCAAAAGCTTAGCACTAAATAATCATGGTGAAGCTCCTACTCCATATTCAGGGGGTCCGTGGATTGAATCTCGGCCCACACTGGTTATCCTGAGATAACCAGGCATAAAGGCTATGACAAATCCTTTGCATCCCTTCCAACCTATTTTCCAAATAGCATCATATCACTGTACACTATATAATGTATGGAGTTGAGAAAACATTGTCAAAGAACCCAGAGTTTATCAGCAAAGACAAGGCTGTCATGTAATGGAAGGCAAAAGGTAAAGCTGTGACTAAGCATAATTCATGAATATATATGGATGGATTGGAGCTAAGGCTCCATACATTCTTAATCAGACCTTGATGGAGGTGAGTCGCTGCATCCCCAGAGATAAAGCTTCTGGTACCCCACCAAATAGGAGCTGGGGCAGGGGGCTGCCTGGGCTGTAGCCAACTACTTAACTGGCTGAGCTATCATGGCTCTTCAACTGTGTAAGTTACTTTTCTATTTCTATAGCCTCCAGTCATAGTTCTTTGAGCTTCTCAGCCTTTTAAAGCACAGGTGGAAGCATTCCAGTTACTTCCAGTAACAAGGGGATACAATTTCATTTCATCTTATGCTATTAGTTACTCGATGACACTGTAAGTATCAACATTATATAGGAATGATGATAGTGTGATTAATGAACACAGATCAGGTAGTGGAAAGAGAAAGGATTTGTAGGAGATGATAATAAAAATGAAAAAAAAAAAAATGAAAATGAAGCAGTAACAGATGCCCTAGTGCCACTTCACACCACAAATCCCCCATGGACTTGGGACTGAACCCAGGACACCACAATGGGAAGTTGCCAACTAACTGTCTCAGCTGTTTTGCAGCCTTTCCCAGTAGAATTGGAGGCATTTAGTGGCTGGATTCCAATTACTCCCACTGACAGGAGACAAGATGATGAGGCCAGGTGGTGAAACCTAGAGCTTAATATGGACTCCAAACCATGTGGGGTTCCTGATATTTTCCATTCATTGTGAGGTACGTGGAAGGCGTGCCAAAAAGAAAATAGAACTGGCCAGTTTTGAACTTTTGACTTTTAGCATTGCAGTGCACTTTATGTAACCATAAAAATACATGATTTTGGGATACAGATGCCAGAATAAGTTCAGGCCATATAGAGAGATATCAGAAAGGCTAATCCACCCAACCTATTTCTAACATTTTCTGATCAAAATAATTACATTCAAGTTATCATGGAAGAAATCTCCAAAGAAATATCTACAATTATATGGTATAAAGGGCCACTTCTTTATCAACACAGAGTGACCAAATAACGTGTACTTACGAGGACTGGAATGTTTGTGTTAGTTCATGTTTCAGCTCACCACGATGATTAATAGTAAAGATTCGGAAGATTGGAATGCCAACAGCCCGGTATGCCCATGCATCCTGCAAGAAAATAAAACAGTGGCATGGGCATAAACACTCTGATCAAAAATAAAGAACAGAATCCCCATACATCTGCAACAGAAGTAATGGGGGGGGGGGGGGGGAGAAAAAAAAGATAACCAGACACCAAAAAAAAAAACTGTTTCATGCATACTGGACAAATTATATATTATGGATTATGGTTTCTGATGTCTTTCTTCCATTTCTGGTCAGATTTCCTGTCAATTTAAATAAACATTTAACCAATGGTATGCTTAAACTCCCTGTTAAAATATAATCAGTAGCATCCAAAATGTCCTACGCAAAAATAATCAGTTGTACATCAGATATACACTGCACAAAACCAATCTGTGGTTAGCCTGAATATCCTGCAGCACAAGAATAATCAATGGCATGCCCAAACATCTTACACAAAATAATAACTGGCATTCCTAAATTCCCTGCACATAATCAGCCTACACAGTAACACAAGAAGGTTCAAGATTATCTTGACCAAATTGGCTCATGGAAGTTAGCGGACACAACATTTCACATCATGCAATTTCAAGGCATCTGTTACAGCACCACATCCTTTTGTTGTTACTGTATAATAAAATTTGCCTTTTAATCCAGCTGCATGTTGTAGGGTTTACATGGCAAATTTTTGAAGAATAGAAATTCATACTGAACACTGTAGTGCAGTCATTAACATTCAAATCTCAGCATGGAGACCAGCTATGCAGACTCTAACCTGCTGTATGTTTCCTCAGTCCCCCTGACAAACCACAGGACATAATAGCTTATTCCATGTACTTCTCTACTCATCATTCATGCTCATCCCATTATTTAACACTACATAACTTACTGACAGAATGTCATGTCATTAATTATACAAAGAAATAATGAAGGTATGAAGACAACAATTCCACTGGTTTCTGATATCATTAAAGGTCTCAGACTTAGCATTTTATATAAAAGGCAAATAAAATAATCCCAGGATATCAGGGAAATACATAATATTTATTTAAATATTATATAATAGTTGATTTAAGGCGTGATTTTTCCAGCAAAAATTAAATTAAAAAATAACAACACATAAATAAACTCACATTAATTTTGTTCCCATAGCCAGCATAGAAAGGCTTGCTGTTTGCAGGAAAGAGAGCCTGGATATCCTTGAGGCAAGATATCTTAAATTCTTCAGGTTTCTTCTCAATTACCTCCCTGTTAAGAACACAGACAATTAATTCGTCACCAACAAACTGCATGTATTAGCAAATTAACTAACTTATTTGAAGGAAAGAATCGTTAAGAATGAGAATTCCATACACTTCCTATGCTATCCTTCAATCAAGGGTTTTGTTTGATATGCTGTCTGTAAAACTATGAAGAAACTCTACAAACAACTTACAATACTACTTTTCATTGAAGTATTTCAGTTCACATAGTGGGGCTAGCAACAATTATAAACTGATAACTACACAACTTTGTATTTTAATCCTGCACGATTCTCACTAGCACAGTTCTGTTTATATTACAGACATGACCAAGGCTCAAATTTTTGAGACTGAAAAATTTCTCAATCTCAATTCTCAGGTTAATTCTTCATTCTCAGACTTCAAGAATTTTCTGATCACTGCTTCTGCTTCACATGTCAGGGTCATGTCAAATTGGATCTGAATTGTATTTGCTTGAATGGAAGAATAGCCCCCCCCCTTAAAGGTTACAAAACTAGAGGCCAGCAGCATGAATATGTCAGATTCTTTCATCCATTTAAGCCTTTAATTTTTAATGGCACAGACTGCACCATGGATCACTAGTTAGCACCATTACAGCATGAGAGTAGCAACCAAGGAAGTGGGCCAGACAGAAATAAGCTTCAAGGTCAGAAGCCACAAAATTACCATCAAAACTATGAAACAAAAGCAGTATTTGACTGATTAATACAACCTCTTTATTACAACCGTCACAACACAACAAATATCAAGATCAGTGCTTAGTTTCGGCTCTGCTACATGTTTCGGCTATCAATTGCCATCATCAGGCAAATACACAGTTAGCATATATACACCACTGAACTCCAGTACTAGTAAAATTGGATACAATAATATTAATCATATAAAACACTTGACGTAAAATACAATAAATCAGATTATATAAAACAGAAGTCATAGTATAAAACAAGAATACAACTCTTAGACTGATGTTTTATATCATCGAATCTGTCGCTGGTTTTGTAATTTTGTTGCGTTTCCATGGACAAATTGGAATATTCTATATTTTGTGTATATAAAATTGTATAGGAGGCTCATGGTGTACATGCAGTAAATTAAAATCAATTGTTTAGTCGGTGCCTCGTCTTACAAAGTACTGCCCATTCTGTAGGGAATGTAAACAACGACTCCCCAATTCACACTCTTTACAGTTCACTATGGCAAGCATTAAGTCTCCTACGTCTTCACTGTGCACTGCCTGGTAACGGCTCCCAACACCGCAGATTCCTCAGCTTCCATTATCAACAGCTTCTGTCTTTGCTGGCTGGCAATCCTCACACATGTAACCCACGACAGTAACTCAGGACCTCCTTAAAGTTGAAGTTAAGTTATGTTACAAATGATGGTCAAGTCAGCGAGTCTGTCTTGGTACAGACTTACTCCTTATATAATGGCACGAATTGCAGAGAAAACATTGCTTCCAGCAGTTCCTCTACTGTTGTGTTTGTGTAACTGTTACTGCAGTCATGTGAGTTGGTTGCCATGGAAACGTATTCACAGAGCCATTTCCTAGCAATACATGTCTCTTTTGGTTCTGCAGTTCTGGCTTTCAGCAGACATATCACAGTATGGAGACGGAAAAAACAAAAACCATAACATCCACCAATTTTATGTAAGAACTGTCATTTGTAGGGATTCAATGACAGAATGGAAGCTAGTGAATCCACCATGTTGTTACTTCTTATGGGAAACTGAAACATATGACGCTTTGGCAACCTTCACTGACATATGTTCATTTCATATTTCGAGTAAATCAGTCAAATGGTTCAAAAATTGAAAGTGGGACGTAAGTGTTAGCATTGTGGTGATCTCATAAGCATACCTTTTCCTTTATGGGAGGAAAACAGGCTAGTAATATGTATTTTACAGACAAAGACATTAGAAAGACAAATTTTACAAACATCATCGAAAACTACACATATAATGAAATCTATTCACCTGTGAAGTGCACTAATAAGACTGGTAGGATTAAGGAGCACTGGCCCACCAGGCAAGGACAGATCACCCTGCTTGATTGACCTCAGGTACTCCCGTGTAACATGTGCTTGGCCTGAAACAAATTGAAAAATAAAAAGTTGTCTCTTTGAGAAGCATCGTGCCCTGAAAGAAATTCTTATAATTTGAAAAAAAAAAATACTCATATAACATGAAAGGAAATTAATTGAAATAATCACGGATGTGAATGTGGGTGCAGAGGTACAATTTCATGCAAATTAATTCTTGGTTCTATGCTTGAGCTGCTTTATCTCCAGAAAAGTGCTTTAGAAAATAATTGTTCATACGTAAGCGCAAATAATTATGCTGCTGAAGTGCCTCTGAACACATTACTACTACTACTACTACAACAAACGGTAACACTTCCCATTCTAGCATTTGTTGTGTGTAATAAAGATATAGTGAAGTCCTTATTTCTAAGATAATGGTTTCTCAAGCTAAATTGAAGTTATCACTGAATGGGGGTTACAAAAAATTACCTTGGGAAAATATGGATCTTCTTATAAGAACTACTGTATATGATACAATACTGCCTTCATGTAAGCAGCAACAGAAACTGTTTCTAAGCAAATAAACACAATTACATAATCAATAACAGCATATAAGTTTCAAAAACAATTAGCAACATGTGAAATCAACACTGAAAGAAACCGTTTCTATGGAAATAAATACAATTACACAATAAATTACATCAAATTAATTTCTAAAATAATTACAGACACAGGAAATTGACAGTGGTGCTGCAGGAACGATTTCCAAAAGACAGTAAATATGAACATTAGGCCGAGCCACAGCTCAAGCAGTTAGTTGCTGGCTTCCCACCACGGCGGCCCGGGTTCAATCCCGGGTCTGGTCAAGTGGGATTTGTGGTGGACAAAGTGGTGCTGGGGCAGGTTTTCTCCGAGTACTTCGGTTTCCCCTGCCAATCTTCAATCCACCAATTGCTCCAAAATCATCCTCACCTATCATCTTTGGCTGGTACAATAGGCCAGAAGTGGCCGCAGTACAAGGGACTTAGTCCCACCCCACTAGCAATAAAAAAAATATGAACATTAACCGTTGTTTCAACCAGACACACTAAATGAAGATAAAATCTCCTGGAAGGTTCAAAATGTCTTCAATAAATGCAGGTAATTTACTAGATCAAAATAAAATAAGTAATATCGTTAAGTATGCAGCAAAGACAGCAAGTGATGCTGTTAGTATTTGAGAATTACTGCACTCATATGGAATCTTGCATTTCTGGCACAATAAGAGCATCTTGCAGTGGCAGAGCAAGATTTTTTCAACAGTGATAGACAAATCTCATGGCAGAGGGTGGGTGTGAAAATGCTAGCATCATACTCATACATCACACAAGACACCAAGGAAATTTTCTGCTAAAAATACATACAGTTATGGAATAAAAGAGGACGGAAATGTATATCAAGACAAGATGCTTACCAGCTTACTAAGTTTGCCTCTTTTAATCACATCTTATACTTGAGTTTCATGCAATGATTTTTTCATTGAAAATATCTATCACAGAGCCAAATAAGTTTGAAATAAGTCGTGAAAAATTGTCTCCTAAATGTGATTAATGATAGCTTAGTGAGTCAGTCTTGAGTCTGCTTGTGAAATAGGTTAAGTATGGACCCTCTTCAAAGTAGAATATGATCACTCAATAGATGCACTGGTTGTTGGAACCATTAATAACAAAACTGATACTTTCTGACGTCTATTAATGCCACACTCATATCTGAAGAATTAAAAAGTTTGAGCAGACAATATGATGAGTATGCAAGCAGGTGATGTGTTGACATTTCTCATTTGGCTAACTTGATTCCTCTTAACGTCATGCAAACCCTCCTCTCCTGAAGCATGTACTATATATGTCTCTCTAATGGCATCTGCACTAACAAATGGCTAGCATAAGCCTCAAAGAACTGGTTAACAACACCTATGATGGGTTGACTGGAAGTGGCAGACAATGCATCATCTCACTAGTTCTGCCAATATATGGAGTGCCACTGAACCACAAAAGTAACATATAATGTTTACTGGTCTAAGTGCATGGGGAAACCCACCTTCTCCAATAACTAACTAACTAACATATAATGTTAGCCTTGCTAACCCTGTTAACACAACCACTCCACCACTGGCATCATGTTGGCAGTTTGAAAGGGAACAAATCAGAATAATTATATTTAAACAACAAACATGATCAAACAGTCATGGGCCACACATCTATGAAAGACTATCAGCTAGCTTACCAATTGCCCGGGCAGAAAGGTAAAGAAGTTTGTAGCCATTGTTCTTGATTTTTGTGAACAGCTGAGCAACTCCATTCTGGGCCCAATCCTTGCCCACAATTGGCAAGATGTGACCCAAGACATCAGACCTACAAAAATTCACTAAAATTAGTATGTTTTTTCTACATCCTTCTTTCAGTAATTTAGCTTCTGGAGTAATTATCAAACAGGAAATGCCATATATATTGGAAACTATTTTTGCTATTTCCCAATCAAAAAAATGTGAGAGTGTATCAGCTGTCGGTCAGCATGTAACAAATGGAGAACCGATGACCGGATTCCCATAAATTTCGATACTTGTGAGTTTTTCTGTAGTTTCTTAACATATTCCAGTACTGGGTAAATGTGGACAACAACAGATGCTTCACATAAAGACCTACCTGTGTTACTTGTTGCTAAATATTTATTACAGTAAAAAAATATCTTGAACAAAAGCCACAGAGGAAATAAAAATATTTTATAATATTATATTTAAGCATCCTGTTGCACTCCATATGATAAATGATATAATGATACAAATTCCGTCCAAAGTGCAAACAATATATTATGTGTCCTTGATCTTGTTCACCTACACTACATGTTTCAGCCTCAGACGGCCATCATCAGGTGTATAACACTCACGTCGCTGTCACACTGCACTCAGCCCAAAATTTAACATTTAAAACACTTTTCTTGTTATTATCAACATCTACTTCGTTGATATCTGTCTGGATGTAGATTATTTTACACACGTTAATTTTGACGTACCTGTAGTAGCACTATAAAATCTTTAGTTAATTTTTTCTCTAAATTTTAATATTTTATGCCCATTATGCTTCTGTCATATCAAAGAAAAAAAATTTCTATTCTCTCACCTCACAGCAAAAGAACCACTGGACTGATCCTGATCAAATTTTTATTAAAGATCCCTGAATAAATTTGTTGAACCACCTAAGATTTCATAAAAATTGGTTTAACAGATTTAGTACTTCACATAAGAATTTATATACAGATCCACAGGACATATATGGGGGCATGCGGTAGCATAGTTGGTTGAGGCTATAAGCTGGAAGGTCAAGGGATCGAATCCCGATGAGGTCATTGGATTTCTTTTCAATTTGCCTAATCCTTCCAGCCGCACTATGGCCCTGGGGCTGAGTCAGCCTCTAACAGAAATGAATACCAGGAATATTCTTGGAATATCCTTGGGGGTAAAGGGCGGCCGGCTTGTAAGGCTGACAACCTTACCGCCATCTATGAGCCAATTGCCTAGAAAATGTGGGAACCTCAACATCTCACAACCCTATGGGCCTCCACAGCCTGTTACAGGGATACCTTTACTTTACCTACTTACTTTTACAGGACATATACAAGGGTTGGATAAAAAGTAGTGGCAACACTGCTGTAACATGAAAGATGTGCGTCAGGTGGTACTAGCGCCATCTGTAGCTGATAGCAGAAGTTCAGTTGAAGTAGTGCAGTGAGTGGCTCTGGTTGTGTTTCACTGAGTTGCATTGGGCATCATCTTGAAGTGCAGGAGTCAGGTTCAAGCACCCTAACAACATGTTTACGAAACAAGAAAAACGCTCCTGGATAAAAACTGAAGTTGCACAAGGTCATAGTGCACAAAACTGTTATCAGGGACTGCGAGAAGCACATGGTGATGCTGCTTTGCCATATCACACAGTGGCACAATGGGTGAAATTGTTCTGTGAAGGGAGGGATGCCATTCAGGATAGCCGTCGTTCAGGACGACCCCATGCTGACAACCACACAATTCAGCTTCTTTGCTGGATGTCGATCGTTGATGGGCTGCGTGGGAGTTAGCTGCTGAGGTAGGCGTATGTCATAAAACCATGCTCCACATGCTGCACGATATTCTTGGACACCGCAAAATTGCAGCATGTTCGGTACCCCATACAATGTCCAAGGTGCAACAATGGCAAAGTTATGCAATTGCACAGGACTTGTTGAACCGGTACCAGAAGGAAGGTGACAACCTCCTTGGAAAGTTTGTCACTCTGGATGAAACTTGGACTCACTCATATGAACCGCACTTGAAGCGACAATCAAATGAATGGAAGTGTCCTGGCTCTCCTCATCCAAAGAAAGTGCGCCCTACACAGAGTAATGTGAAGGTGATGTTCATTGTGGTATGACACTGATGGAGTGATACTGCACCACACTGTACCTCAACAACAGACAGTAAATGCTGCATAATAATCTTCGTCCAGCACTCAGGAGAAAGCGACAACACTTGTTGGCAATGAATCCCATCATCCTTCATAACAATGCAAGGGCTCATACTGCTGATGCTCTCAAGGATCTCCTTCGCTCCTGGCGATGGGAGATAGTGCAACATCCACCTCACTCAATATGAGTCCATGCGATTATGATCTCTTTGCCAAAATGAAAGAACCACTGCGAGGGACACGTTAGAACCAAAAGAGGAGATTTTTCATGCTGTAGGGCAGTCACTGCTGGACATCAACAGAAGTGAATGTGCTGATGGTGTATGACGCCTTCCACAAATTTGGTAGAAGGTGGAACACATGGGGGGCAATTATATATTTGGGTACAGCACTGCACAAGTTTATATAGGTCTCAAAAAATTGTTTCCAGCCAACAAGCCATGTATGCATTTCCTCCTTCAACTCATGGTCACTGGAAAAATGGCGGTTTCTTAAAACATCTCTGAGGGTTCCAGACACATCAAACTCAAATGAAGCATGGTCAGGGCTATATGGTGGATGTTCTAAAACCTCAGAGCACAGCTACTGGAATGTTTCAGAAGTGTGGGCAGCAGTATGAGGATAGGCAATGTCACACAACACCTTTTAACAGCTGCCCTCTACATTTACTCCAAATCACCAGCTTCAGCTTGTCACACAGTGCCTCACTATAAAGTGCCACTTATCATCAAACCCTTTTCCTGATAAGGTTACAGGACTGGCTCCTGCAAATCCTTCGACAGTGTAAGCACTGCTGGCAGAGATATGAACTTTCTGGTAGGGAATACTGGATGTTCCCATTCTATACTCTGGTGGTTTGGCTCACAGTGATTTCATGTTCTGTCACCAGTGACAGTGTAGTCAAAAATGTGTCACCTTCCTCATGATACTGGTTCAGATAGCACTTACAAATGTGCAAGTGGTTATGGCTATGCTGTTCTATAAGATGTGCTGGAACTCACTTGCACACTTTAAGGAACTGGAAGTCTGTGGTGGATCACTTCACAGGCAGCAACATCAGTACCAACCCTCCTATTGCCACAAATTTATGTGATGACTTGTCCAATGTTCCCCTCTGCAGTCAATCTATATGGATAACCTGATCATTCTTCATCTGTTCAGCCATTTTTGAACATGTCAATCCATCTGTATGGACTTCACTGTAGCACACTGTAACTGCACTGTGCTAATAGTCTTCAATAAATTTCTGCACCTCTTACACCTTTTCAGCCCACAGAAGAAACTAAACCTCTACTCACAGCTCTTCTTAGGCACATGTGATAGGTGAAGAAGCTATATTGCCACCATTAGTGATGAAAGACAACTGAATGGTGAAGGTTGAATAAGTCACTATAACAACAGGGAAATTTAGTGCCTCTAGTGGTGTTCGATTTACACTCTTCTTGTTGATTTAAAATATTGAGAAGGACTCCAGCAACAGCAAGTCCCCCATCACTAGCATTTCAACCACGTCAATCTCAACGAAATAGAGCAGACAAATAATTAGCTGCCACATAACCTGTTTTCAAAATCTTATAATATTTTTAATAGGTGTAAAGTTTTTAATCTTTCTAATTGCAACTTGAAACTATAATTGTATAAATTAGAAATTTTAATTTGATCTCTATAAAAATATGGATCCATATTTAATGTTCTGACACAGTTCATGGACTACTGGTTGTGTTGCCTGAGGATGACCTAAGAAGAAAGGTTGAAACATGTCACAATAAGAACTGCACAAATAAACAAATGTTGATATGGCAGTATCCGTTTTGTCTTACTGAGTATTATTATTATTATTATTATTATTATTATTATTATTATTATTATTATTGTTGTTGTTGTTGTTGTTAAGTTGTTAAGTTGTTATTATTATTATTGTAACATGTTTTGCTACTGAAGACGCCATTCGGATTGTTAATTGGATTATTTAACAACCTACAAGTCGTAACTACAAATACTTATAACACTATTATGGGTTTTCACACTTTACAACCCTACACAATAATCTATTCAGTAGTCTTCATATATTTATAAAACGGGAGCTATAAAAGTCTCTCTTAATTACACACTCCCAATATAACTGTACTACAGTACACAAAGTCTTGAAGTCACACAATAAGTCTTCACTTGCTGACTTCTCAGTTATCGCACACTATCACATAAGATCTTCCAACCATGTGTTCGGGTCTTCTTCCCGCAACTGCTGCTATATTTCAACTGACTCCTTAGGCAGTGTAGTTCTCTTATAAACCCTCAGCCAAACAACAGAAAGCACCTCGCTTCCCTGTTGCCTAGTCGCCTTGTTTACAGGTGTTGCTGGGCAATACTGTCAAGAGTTGTTTACTGCTGTGTAGTAACCAGCGTGCTTCGGCTCGGCTTGGCTCACTTCGGCTCTACTTGGCACGGCATGAAGAAACACCGTGGGGGAGGGGATGTTTACCGACCGTTGCGTACTGATGGAAGGAGTGGGGGTAGGTGACATCACTCGTGAGACGCAGAGTTCACGTGACCCCCACTTCCTGTTGCGCCATCCACATCACATTATTATTAATTGCAATTATTATTATTATTGTTGTTATGTTGGAAAGTACACTTAGCTTTCCATTCTCAGTCCAGCCTTGTCACATCTCTCACTATTAACTATTTAGTCAATTCATATTTTTAAGAATACTTCTAGTACAGCTTACCTGGTAATAGTGCCATCAATGTCAGAAATGACAATCTTATCATCATAGCGCCACCTGTATATACGGCACTTGCATCTTGTAGTACCCTGATATGCTGTCGTTACACTGAATACCACTTCATTGGCACCTTCCTTCAAGTTCAGGCTAGCCTGTTGCAGAAAAATTTTATAGCAACTCTTTCTTTCTACTTAACACCCTTCCAATCCTTCCTGTGCTTCTTACAATGCATTTCATCAACAAGACACTAGTCTGACAGATACATTTCATAATTATATCGGATACTGTCCAATGTCCGAAGCACGTTTAATATCCTGATCTACTCCTGCTTTAAAATGTCCGGTTTATACTTTATTTATTTCAATTTAAGAGATTAGTGGCAAAGGTTGCAATCTTGCCAAACAATCTTCAGATACTAGGCTTGTGCATACTAGGCTGCACATATCAGATTATGAGCAAGAAGTCATATGAAGATTGGATCACAGCCAAGTACTAAAATACTGAAGAGCAAACAAATGCTCAGCATAAGGCCATATGGATGCAAGACAAATCTAGCACTGACAGTATTCACTGCAAAACCTCCATTCAAGGTTTCTTTGGGCAGCAGTGGATTTAAACACTGAAGTCTGAAAAATCTGAAATGGAAGAAATTCAGCACTCACATTATTGAACCGGTATAACTAAAGTTGAACCTTAAAAGAGGGAAAACTATATATCATGGAAAAATAAATGGCAGTTCCACATTACTTTGTTTTAAAATCGTATATAAACAAACAGTTTTGCTACACTCACATTAGCACTGTTATTCTCAAATGACATAAGACAGGGTCCAGTGGTGGGATCTTGTGAACACATTAATGAAACTTTTGGTTCCATGAAAGGTGAGAAATTTCTCTCCCAGATGAGTTTCTGAAGAATGACTCTACACTACAGATTTAATTAGTTAGCCAGTCTGTTAATTATTCGTGCTTGCCTTTCATATCAAAAGACTGAAAGTCCTGAGTTATCCTTAAATACACACTTTTCTGTTTATGTCAATATGTCCTAACATGTCAATGCAAAGTAACTTTCTAGTGTTATGTACAAGAAAAAAAATATGTTTTCACCTCATTAGGAGGCATGTCTGAACCTACTGTCTAAAAGTAACGTTAATGCCACAAAATGTTAATGACACCACAATATAATTTTCTCAAAAGAATCTAATAAGTACTTACTACTGTCAGGTACTGCCATCAAACTTTAATTCATAAGTTTCAAGCATTAATTTCTATATTTCAAAATACTGTATAGAAACAGTGTATCATAATCTTATACAGCCTACTCCAGTAAGAATGTAAATGAAAAATGAACAACATATAATGGTTAAATTTCAAGCTCTTGAGGAAATTATTAATGGTATAAGCACAGGTCACCACAAGTTACCCTTATCACACTGCTGCTTCTCCTAGCTTTCTCTCTTAAGTCTCTATTTATGCAAGCCTTATCATAGAACTCATATTCTCAGAATCTGCATAGAATGGTTTTCAGTGATCATAACAAGGTGAGCTGCAGGATAGCCAATTGCACAGATGCAAAATATTTATCGGTATTATTTGCTTTTATCCATCTGCATACTCACAATCTGATCAGATGAGAGTCGCAACGTTTTACGATATTTCTCTGTATGCTCATAGTAGCTGCGTCTCTGTACTGGCACCTTCACACTCTGTGATTTGGTCCTGACACTGTCTGAGTCATCTGATGAGTTTGATCCACTGTATCCTTCCTCCTTTACCCTGTAGGTGCAACATTTTATTATTATTACTATTATTATTATTATTATATTATTATTCAACTCTTTAATGAACCGTCACAACACAGCAAATAGTAAAACATCAAAGTCAGCGTTCAGCTGTGGCTTTGCAACATGTTTCGGTCACTAACGGCCATCATCAGGCAAATACATATCAACAAAAATCTACCACTTAACTGCAATCATAAAATGGATATAACACTATTAACTGTACACATTTAAAAATGCTTATGTAAAAGATACAAAAGTTCAGAATATATAAAAATTAAAAATTAAAATTTGTCGTTTGCTTTCCATGCAATACGGACAAGTCTTCGTAAGACGAGTCACCATTACACAATTTATTAATTGCAACACCATGGGCCTCTCTTAAAATCTTCTATATAAAGTAATATCGAATTTCCAAATTGTCTATGGAAACGCACACAAAGTAAATCCAACGACTGAGTTGATGTTTTGAAAACATCATTAATATGTATCTTGTTACATAATACTTTCAATTTTTAATTTTTATATAATCTGAACTTTTGTATCTTTTACACATGCATTTTTAAATTTGTATGATAAATAGTGTTATATCCATTTTATGATTGCAGTTAAATGGTAGATTTTTGTTGATATGTATTTGCCTGATGATGGCCGTTAGTGGCCGAAACATGTTGCAAAGCCACAGCTGAACGCTGACTTTGATGTTTTACTATTTGCTGTGTTGTGACGGTTCATTAAAGAGTTGTATATTGTAGCACAGCAGGATGCACGAAATTAAGATATTATTATTATTACAAAAACAAAACAAACTTATTGTTGTTACTACTACTACTACTACTGGTGTGAGACAGCCCACTTGGTACTACAGCCACTAATGGCCTACTGTACCAGCCAATGATGATGGTGATTGTGGAGCAACTGGTAGAATTAAGATTGGCAGGAAAACAGAAGTACTTGGAGAAAACCTGCCACAGTGCCACTTTGTCCATCACAAATCCCACATGACCTGACCTGGGCTACAATCCAGGCAACCATAGTGAGAAGCCAGTGACTAACTACCTGACTTATTGGATGGCCCTCCAAAAACATATACAAGATGTCCCAGGAGTTTGGTGCCATACTTCAGGAGAGTACTGAGGGTTCCCTATAGAACTTTGAAATAGGAACCCATGTCCGCAAACGTAAAATAGCAGCGCTAGGGCGGCATTTAAAATCATTTCGTTTAGACTTGGCGCCTCAATGTCGAACTGCATTGCATAGAGGCACAGCCATCCACCAGCACTCATGCCACTGCCAAGATTGTGGGGACATCAAAATCAAATGTTGGAGGATCCTGCACAACCAACAACTTTACCCATATCATCCAATGCGAGTACACAACATAGGTCCAGCTCACTTTGTACCACGAGTTCAATTTTGTCAATGAACACTGAACCAGTGTTTACATCAGCCAAACTTGCTTCAACACGTGTTATTCACAGACAAAACGCAGTTTACAAGGGATGGCTGGTTCAACTGACAAAACAGCCACGTTTGGGCTGATGAAAACCCCAACGTTACTGTAATTGGTTACCACCATGTACAATTTTCTGTCAATGTCTGGGCAGGCATCATTTGTGATCACTTGATTGGGTCTTTCCTCCTACCACTGCGACTCAATGGGCCCTTTTACAAGGTGTTCCTGGAACATATCCTTCCGACTTTGCTAGAAGACGTGCCACCGATTGTGTGGAGGCAAATGTGAATACAGCATGACAGAGCGCCGGCACACTTCAGTATTGTATCATGAGACTACCTGGATGCTGCTTTTCATGGTCGCTAGACAGGAAGAGGAGGCCTAGTACCTTGGCCACCCCAATCCCCAGACTTGACACCTCTGGACTATTTCGTCTGGGACCATGTGAAAAGCCTGATCTACGATATGCCTGTGGATAATGAATTCAAATTATTGGCCAGAATACTTGTTGCATGTGACGTGATCCGTGAGACACCTGGAATATTTGAAAGGGTGCGCCAAAGTTTCTTTCGTCAATGTAACGCATGCATTGAAAATGGAGGGCGCCAATTCCAACATCTACTCTAGCAGGTGTCTTAAGAGTTTGGAAGGGGTAATATGCCCGTGCATGCTCTTCGACATTGAGGCACCAAGTTTAAACAAAATGATATTAAATGCCGCCATAGTGCTGCTATTTTATGTTTGCGGAAATGGGTTCCTATTTCAAAGTTGTTCTTTGGGGAACCCTCAGTACGCTCCTGAAATACGGCACCAAACACCTGGGACACCCTGTATATACAGGTGTGTGTGTGTGTGTGTGTGTGTATATTTTTTTTGGAACACAAAAAAATTATTTCTGCAATTTATCAGTGTGTTATGTATACTGTGATTAGGCCAACAAGTTATGCAAAGACTGCATTTGGAAAAGATGTGTACTCCACTGGTGTAGACTTTTTACTTTATTTTAAATAAAACAGGTACTCACTCTTTTTGCCTATCTAAGTGCACAGGAGTATCATGGAACTTCCTCTGAGTAGAGAATCCTGTTACGTCAAGTGTACTGAACCCATCACCCGAATAGTCTATGGTACTGAACTTGTCATCTGAATGGTCCATCGTATCAAACTTGATATCCGAATGGTCTAGAGTAGTTATGGACACCTCCTTAGGAACTTCATCTTTCTTGTCACTTTCCAGCCCAGATATATCCCCATCATGACACTTCAGTGTCTCCACCTGATAAACATGTTACATATTAACTTCACAACAAGGTTTTAATGCAAAATAAACATATAGCATTCACATTTACTAGTACTGTCATGATTTAGGAATTATGACTATAGACAGGGTATGGGATTGGTGAATGCATTCACTGACCACTCCTACACAGATCACTGACACACACAGACTAGTGTCCTCAGTCTATTACAGTCTCCACTAGCTGTTTCCTGGCAATGGCTTCTATTGAGGGAGATTCTTAAGCTTCCCGCACTCAGGGCCTCTTGTCACAGCCACCCGTGCAGAACTCTTGTCAACTGACAACTCAAGTAACTGGATTCAGGCTGGCGACAATTTCACACCAACATCCAGTCTTCTCTTCGCAGGCTGACTTCCACCTGATAACTGAGCTCTCTCACTCACCAACCAGCTATTTCACATCACCTCACTCAACTGAACTGCTGATAACTCTTTGACAACTCAGATGGTGTCCTCATATATAACCTTGGGACAGACCAAACACAAAACTCTGCATCCAGCAGTTCTTCTATTGGCTTCATGAGCAGCCGCCTAGCAATAGACTGGATATCATTTCCAGGACAACATGTTTACTGACTCTTACTCAGAAACAGGTGTTTGTTTATCTGCCTACTGCATAGCTACGGAAGTACTCATTGTCCGTTTCAAGATCTATGCCCAGAAATGGGTCTGTATGCCACAGTATATTAATATTAAGTAATATGTTCCCTTCTGTTTAGTAGTAGAGTTATAAATATTATTTTCACTTCAGAGAATCATCATAAAGAAACACTGTCTGGTAATCTGGGCAAGTGAAACACTTTTACGTGTGCCTTCTTTTCTCAGTTATCAAATATGAATGTCGCTACACAGTCTCTGACATATACATAAGAAAATTTACTGTGATTATTCTTATTGTTATCTTTTAGTTCTTTCTAAATCAGATATGCCAAAATTAAGTAAACAACATAAAGTACCAGAAGTAATTTGATTTGTTTCATTCTGGTCCGTCACACTAAGAATTACAAAGATAAAAATAACACTATCTTCAAATGATAAAACTTAAATAGTCACATTAGACAGTGTTAATTTTATCTTTGTACCAGAAATAACACATAAAACATACACTTTGTAATCCTGCACTAATGACAAACCGCAGTTTCTGTGTGAATTGGTCCGCCTCAGGTTTATCAGTTTCACCCCCTCTGCTTCTGAATGAACTATTTTGCACTGGTGATTTAAACACTGATGTTGTGACTGACTACTCTCATAAAGCTTAACCCTTCTTGAGAAATCATCAGTTGTGCAGCTACTCAAGAACTCCCCCACATTTTATGGAACTCAAAGGTTCATTACCATGTTCACAAGAGCCCTCCACTAGTCCCCATCCTGAGCCAGATCAATATAGTCCATACCACCCCATCCCATCTCTCTTAAGTTCTACTTTAATATTATCCACCCACCCATGTCCTTGTCTTCCTAGTGGTCTCTATCCTTCTGACTTTCCACCAATATCCTGCATGCATTCCTCTTCTCCCCCACTCATGCTACATGACCTGCCCATATCATCCTTCCTGACTTGATCATTCTAATTATACTTGGAGAAGAGTACAAGTTATGAAGCTTGTCATTATGCAATTTTCTCCAACCTCCCATCACTTCATCTCTGTTCAGTCAAAATATTCTCCTCAGCACCCTGTTCTCAAACACCCTCAGTCTATGTCGTTCCCTTAATGTCAGAGACCAAGCTTTGCACCCATACAGAACCACAGGTAAAATTATAGTTTTGTATATTCTAGTTTATATGTTTACAGACAGCAGATGGGAAGACAAAAGGTTCTGGACTGAATGGTAGCAAGCATTAACCGAGTTAAATCTCCTCTTAATTTCCTCTTGAATCAAATTTGATTTGTTATAGTCTTCCCCAAATATCTGAAGTGTGCCACATTTTCAAAGCATCTGTCAACTATCTTATGTCATAATTTTTCCTTGCATTCTGGTGATGAGACAGCAACATATACTTAGTTTTCTCTGTGTTCATTTCTTGACCAACCTCAACTAGAGAGCAAGTGTTTCTCTTTATGGTATCTATATTATTACCCAGAAGATTCACATCATCAGCACAGGCGAAGAGCTGATGTGTCCCATTTAATTTCAGTCCCACCTCGTTTTCCTGGACCTTTCTAATGGCATATTCTAAAGCATAGCTGAAAAGCAGTCGCAATAAATCATCTCCTTGTTTTAGACCATTTTGGACTGGAAAATTATCACATAAATGTTTACCTATACGGACTTTACTAGACGTTTCATTTAAAACACTGATGTAGAATATATAAATGAATCATACTCTTCCAGGAATCAGTCAATCCAAATCCCAACACTCCATATACAACTACTGCTGATGTTATTAAAACACAGACATACAGTAATATTAGTATAATGGCCATTGGACTGAATGGAAAGACATTTCACTTGTTACACAAACTATATTGTTATTGTATGCAAACAATAGAGTTTAATTATAATATTAGTTTCAAATGCCAAGATAAAAGTGAGACCACAATAATACATGCTTACAGGGTGAAGATGACCTTCAGCACCTGTGCAAGTCAACCTACCAAGCAAAGATACAAATACCGATTTAATGGATATGGAATACTTAAGTACATTGTATGTAACTTAGTACTGGAGGGATGTGGAAAAAAAGCAGTAATCATATATTTCATGGTACTAGATATTTTCCTGGATGGAGTGGGGGGGGGGAAACAATGAAATAATCGTAGGATATCCCATAATCAGCGTTCCTGCTGAGATTCAAACTGGGCACCTCCCAAATCAAATATGGGTCAGAAACATTACCACACAAGCCAATTTACTCAATATCTACATGGCAAAGAGCTTCTCTTACCTCCACATGGTATCCCATGTGATTTAGACAGCTGGATGAATATGGCATTTGTTTTAAAGTAGATAATTTTTTTTTTTCAAGATGAGCCCTAACTTTCCAATGTATCATTTTTAACCACATATGTACCTCTTTGACATCAGACAATTTCTCAGACTCTGGTGATGATATATCACTGGTACTGAGGTTACTGGAGATCTTCTTGGGTGCAGAAGTGCGACGCCAGTAGAACCAGGATGAGTAACCTTTGGTTTCCTGCTGATTTTTAGGTTTCTTCTGACCCTTATCCTCTACTGGCATGTATTCTGTCACAAAGGCATCTACTACTTCCTGCAACATAACAATCATAACTCCAGAGATACAGCAAGAGAAGCATTCTCTTCTGGAGTACACACACTTTCCAAATGTATTCTTTGCTAGTATGCACACCTCACTGTTCTTCAAGTTCATTTACTGCCAATACAAATCTATTGTTGCAAAGTCATCACACTGCATACATTATTATATGGTCATGCGCATGTGTCATCACCAAAAATTATGAATGGAATGTGGTGAAAGTTTATATCAGACATTTATACTAAAAGCATCACTCAAATTCAACTTTGGTTCATGATGATACAATATGACTCCTACTTCATCTGAGGCACAAATCATATTTTACTGAGTTTCTCAGAAATACTTTATGTGGGAACCTGCCACAGTCAAACAGACAACTCCCACAGCGCAGCAAGAACAGACGATATTTATATACTGCAGCTTGCAACCTGGCTGCCTGTACAGCCACACAAGCACTACACAATCAGCAATCACCATAGCAGCTCCAACACCCATTGGTTAGCGCATCACCTAGCAGAAAAAGTACAATGATGCAGATGTCTGACATGCTAGCATCAGTCACGGCTATGCGTGCATCCAGAAATCACCGCAGCTGCGACTCTACTGGTACCAGCACAGCACCTGCCTCTGCCAGTGACAACCAGCAGTCTCACCGCTACAGCCATAGCCTCGCCTGGTATCCTGCCAGCTTGCAATCATCGTGTTGCTACAAGGAAGCACGCCACGCTGGCTAGTTCACTGCAATGAGGGCTTCACACTACCACTGGCTAGCCCATTGTGATAAGAGCCTCGCTGCTACTGTGAGAGTTTCACTGGGCTTCAGACAAATGGGCCTTTACAGGGCTGACAATAGCACTGTCATCACTAGCTCAGGCTAGACTGGTATGAAAGGAGTCTGCCAGTATCATTCAAATGAGCTCCCCACTCATCTGTAATACCCATTCTAAGAGCAATAAACATTTGTTGTTAGTTTTACATGGTTGTGTCTGCGAGAATTGACATCCGGCATTTAGTTGAAACAACTTATATATAAATAACATTTAAATGTACCTGTGGCAGAGGTCTATGATAAACAACCAATGACATGATGAGAGGGCAAGCTGCTCTCCAGCTGTAGTAGTTTCCGTTAAGTCTCACCACAAGATCTGGATTCTCAATCAACTTGGGGTTCTGGATCAGGTCATTGTAGGTTACAAGACCCTGAAGAAAACTGTCCTCTGTGGGGTTTGAGATGTTCCTGTCAGAAGATGTCAGGCCTCCACACAGAGACATTGAGATCTCACCATACGACCTACACATAACCACACACCATATGACCCACACATAGCCACATTATCGCAAGAGTCTTATATACTACAGAACTCCAGGCTCTTGCAATAGGTAGTGAAATTCAGATATGTAACAGATAATGCAAATGAATTGGTTAGGCTAACAATGTGTGCAACAGCTAAAATGCAGATATATTCACTTTTAAAAATAACCTGTTTGATTATAATTTTGTTCTTTCAGGGCCAGTCTCCGAACATCCTACACATGACAGCTTATACTGTAATTCAGCTTGCGATTATGCCACGTTGATGAAAAAAACAGAGAAGAAAAATATGAAAGCATCCACAAAATAATATAATCTTTCAACTATCATCTTAATAATGCATACTTTTTTTCAAAAACGGAATGTTTTGGTTCCTCAAAATCACTATCTGAGGATTTTGGCCCACCAATAGCCCCCTCCACACTGTGTGGTGACTGTGGAAGTGAAGTTCCATTCCCAGATTCTGCATCTTCGTCTCTTGCATCACCTAATGAAAGAAAAGTTAAGTTAAGTCTGGCTGCCAACCAATACTTTCATACACCGCACATATGGCTACTCTTTGTCTGAAATGTACAAACCCTGTATTCAGGGTATTTTAAGTTTAAACATGTTCATAAACCCTGACTCTGCCTGAACTACTATCGTGGCTATCTAGTCATATGAAGTATTAAATCATGCCTCATTTAACAGGTAAAATGACATAGTAAACTGAATGAACTCACTACATGGTGCAAAGCCTTCCTTGCAGGTGACAATTAGTGGGTCAAGAAATGAGACTGGTTGTATAGGAAAACCATATGATTATACTTGGTTTTACATTAACCCTTAATGACACAAAGTTGGGACAGTACAATATGATGAACGAAATATATGAAAGGTTGCTTAGTGACAAAAAGATATCATGTTTTTACAGCTTCTAATCCTATGCATGCATCACAAGAGTGGCCTATTACATAGCACAAGCCAAAACATATTTACAATTACTGTGTTTTTGGACATTATACAGCATCCTGTTTTTATTTAAATACATGTTTCACAGACTGGATTCTGTCTCTGTCTACAGGTGGAACCTACTCAGATTGGCCCAATCAACAGAGCTAGTCTCTATTGCTGGACATCAGCATCAATACAAGATAGGATATATAAACCAAGCACAGCATAAACCATCTGCAAGAGTTAAGACAAACATAAAAAAGCATAAAAACTCCACCCACATGAGGCCTAGTATCTATATCCATGTGTTTTTTAAATAAACACATGACAATGGATAATATTCACAAACACAATAACTGTATTGATATACCATCATCACAAACTTTTAGATCTAATCAAATTATTTTTCATACCCATCGAAAGCTGACTGCACATAATGCACAATTTCTGCTTTCTGCTTATTGAAGTGTGTGCTGTGTTTGCAGCCTATAAATCGAATGCTCTTTCAATATTCTGGCCAATGACAATATGGCAAAGGTGATGATTCACTTTCTACTAAATAGCCAGTGGGCACAATTTCTATTCTGCCCAAATAATGGGACAATAGTGAAGATAACCTCTATGATGGGGGTCAAGGCTTTAATCAGGCTGTAATCCAAGGTATGAAAAAAAAGTGCAAGATACTTGTAACTTTGGAAAATTCCAGTTACCAAAATATTTGATAATTCATTTTCAACTGCACAGATCACATGGGAAATCTGTAAATGAGAAACTGGAAAGGATGTAGATGAAAGTACACATAACTTGAAGAGTACTGTCTTTTGGAGTGTAACACTGTGTAGACCAGCAGAAGTTCACAGGAGAGTGCTCTACTTGCCACCAACTTCTGACTGTTTTTTGCTTGACTTACCCTCTGACCCTAAAAATGAAGGCAGTACATTTCTCTGAAGAACTGTGAATGTCTACTTGATCACACAGCTGTACATTCCAGAAAAATAATGCTCTTCACAATCACCACTGTGAGAACCTCAAATCCAGCATACCTATAGCCCTTTCCTCACATCATCCAAGCATCTTCATGCATAGATTGAGAAGAGGGGGGGGAAAAAAAAAAAAAAAACAAATGTCTACCAGTATAGTAACCCTTTGGGTTAAATTAAACTGAGGGCAGCCAAGCTCCTTGCTAATCACCACACCACAAGGTTCTGTCATATATTCACTAGTTCCACTAAACTCCAAGCTGTTGGTTACAAACCATGCAATACAAACATTTGTTTATAATGACATATTTTCCTGCTGGGATCTTTAAATAAAAAAGTTCATGCAAATGAAAATGTTAGATGGAAGCTGGTTACAGTGAAAATTTGCATAACTTACTGGAGAAAAACACAGATAACAAGCCACAGAATTCTATACAGACAAGCATCCACAACATAAAACATGCAAATTCTGAAGACAATCTGTTAATGGCTGCCTAATACATATACAGGGTGTCCCAGGAGGAATGAACCAAACTTCGGTAGGGTGTTCCTTATGTTAAAGTATGCCGATATAACCCAAAACACCTATGTCCAAAGTTGAACGGTTACGGAGATAATGGCCAGAGAAGTGTCAAACTTTGACCGGTGTTACACACTTGCTGACTACAAAATACATATTAAAACTGGCAGGAATATGTGGATTCTGTAATGTTAATAATGTATGTAACATCAAACTAACTTGTGAGTGACGTGAAGCCATAAAATTGAAGTAAGAAATACTCGCTCGCCATGTCATAATTGTCCTTAGGGTTTCCAAACACTACACATGACACATGACTGGTGAGCGATGATGTAATATGGCTGCGCTAAAACCCGACCACCTAACTGTAAACGTACGTACATCCACGGACAATCTCTTTTGGAATTTCATTTCCATTATCTCATGTGGATTATTATGGAACCACGTATGCACATTTCGTAAATTATTTACACCATCCAGGGTAAAAGACGCCTCAACACTGAATAAAATGACGCTTAACAGTTCGGGATGAGCTTTTTATCCAGTGGCACAAATCCATACGCTGTGCATGGTCGCCTGGTTCCAGATGTTGTACCATTTGATCATGGTAAGAATAACTCTTCATCATGTAAAGTTCGCCACACCTGAATATGTGATACACCGATGCGAGAGGCGAGTCTACGAGTGACAGACGCGGACTTCACTGAACAATATCAAGAATGTGCTCTCGTGTGTCTATCATTCGTACATCCTGCCTTTCAGAGTGCACAGAAACACTTGCAAGAGAACCAGTATCACGCAATGTCTGGTGAATTCGCGTAAATACACTTCGAGATGGAATCCTTCGATCGGGAAAACGCCTTTGGTATTCTTCAACAGCAGCACGTGCATTGCGACCGCAAAATCCACACACAAAATGCATATCACAATATTCCACATGTGAAAACACAAGAGGCATTTCAGCAACTCATCACACAACTAATTTACCACCCATTCACGACCCCGCCGCAACGTAATCTGTAGGCTCTGTACGTATCGCATAAGCTTACAGCTAGTGTGAATCAGACACTCAAGGACAAACAGATAACAGTCACAGCTGACAGGTATAGCGTGCGGACCTGCAAGAAGACCACACTTTTTTCGGGCCATTATCTCCGTAACCGTTCAACTTTGGACATAGGTGTTTTGGGTTATATCGGCATACTTTAACATAAGGAACACCCTCCCGAAGTTTGGTCCATTCCTCCTGTGACACCCTGTATATGGCCCCAAATATTTTAGATTTGTCATGTAAAACGTCTAATTCCATAACTTGCATATATAAACCATAAGATAATCTTCTAGACTAGCTGATAATTAAAAAAAATCTTTTATACAATATATCTTCATCCATCTTTATACGTAAAAATTAAATTTAAAATATAGATGTTTATATCTGCTTTTCCAGTACACTTACTCATGTTTAGTCAAACAACAAAACTCATTTGAAATGATTTCTGCTCTGTATGATCACACTTGAAACAGAATGAATGCATGCAATGCTTGAATTATTTTGATATTCCACGTAACTTACAAAATAATTCTAGTGAATACAAAATCCTGTAGAAATAGATTTGGTTTCCCATAATGAGCATACTGATTGATAATCTTAAAAAAGAAATAGAATCAGACTTGCTTTAGATCACTAATATTAAATGGAACAACCCAGTTATGTTGAAATATGCGTATGCACATGGGCACACAGGTTTGCTTGTACTTCACATATGTATACATAAATATAGTAAAAAAAGGTAGGTGCAAAGGTTGAGATGAAAGAAATAGTATGCACACAACAGGCTGTTTTAATAGGGACAAAATTACTGCCAAACATATGTGAACAAAAACTTCATAAAACAAATTCATAATGGGAATATCAGTACTATTTGAGACATTGCCCATTGTTCTAAGTACACAGTGTTATAGGGCTTGAATCTTTTCCCATCCTTAGGTGATTATCATCATACTAACAGATTAATTATTTTAAGATCCGTCATAACAACTGGAATCCTTCTCAGGACACTTTGAACACTAGGCTAATATATAGAATGACTGGGTTTTTGGACTTTTCCCATTATCTGGTATTCTAGAAAATAGAAAACATGACATTTCAGAAACAGGATCTGTTTCTATCCTCAGGTGGGGGGGAAGACACCTACTCAATAGGGCCCCTTAGAAAGAGCTAATCTCAATCAATCTTTGGAGCCCAACTGAGTAGGTGTCTTCCCCACCCTTCACCTAAGGATGGAAACACATACAGTTTCCGAAACGTTTTTTTATTTTCTAGAATACCAGATGATGGGAAAAGTCCAAGCAAAAATCCCAGTAATTCTGTGTGTTACACACCGTTGTCAGAACTCTTTAGAATCTATTAGGCTAATATTATAACCAAGCTACCCCAGTGGTCTAGCAATACACATCCTTGCCTAGAATTCAAAAGGTTCTTGGTTTGATCTGAACTATCATAATTAATCTTCAAATAACATATCTAATAGCATAATGAGGACCAGTCAGCTGTGGATGTGAAGAACAGCCAAGCCCTAAAACTCTGTGTATATCAAACACACCTAGACTAGACAATGTCCAACACAGTATTGATAAAACTGATGTTATGCAACTACTAATAATTATCAAGTTCAGTGAATTACTCACATGGAACATAGAGTAACAAGCTAGTGACTACCATATAGAAATTAGGATGAGACAGGTAAGCAGCACTTACCACAGAACCTATACATAAAGGTAGATATTGTATGCCAGTGGAGTATGCATATTTTGTAACTGTATTCTTTGCTATTTTGCATGCCATATTCAGCCTGTTGTTCATTTAGTGCAGATACAAATATATAGGTACAATGATAACTGCATTACAGACATTACACTGCACACAGCCTTACCTTTCATAAAACACTCACCATATTTAAAAAGTTTCAATTACATACTGTAGACCTTCATGAGATCTTTATTTTATATCATCTACTAATTTATTGTATAATAAACCATTTTTGTGAAATTTGCCAGGTTCGATTTGATCTTCAAATGCAAGGTACCTACACACAAAATATAAACTCATGCAGACTGAAATATGCAGAGTAAATTCAGATATCAAAACATTTGGATGGGCACATGAACATGAGCTTCCCATTATGCCTTTATTTCATGAAGTTTTTGTTCAAACTTGCTTGAAAACAAGTTCAATTCTTCATTAAGAGGATTTACGGAATGGACAAAATTTCTGTTGCATCAATCTTCCTCTGTCATTGTCTTTGCTGTTGTCGCTGTTACCAGTGCCGGTGGGTAGGTGAGAGAGTGAGTGAGTGAATGCAACTGAGTGAGAGAGAGAGTTTAAACACCATGAGATTGTTCCCCATAACATCAGTGTCTTAAAACCTGCTGCTAGAAGTGTGTGTGTGTGTTATGAGCCATTCTGCTCCCACACCACGCAGGGGGAAGGTATTATTATGAGGAGATGCAGCAGCTACCTGAAGCAAGACAGGTTGTACGCCCACCCTGACGATAAGAAGTAGGAAAGTAGAGAGCTGCAACTTCTGGATCCAGTTCATCTGCATTCAGATCTGACAGGTAGATGCCCTCTGATTCTGGATTGTGCCTGATGCGTTTGGTCTTCTTCATGAAGCTGAACATTCCGCTTAACATCGAGCGCTGAGCTTCAGCCTCTGCTGCTGCTGCTGCTGCTGCTGCTACTGCAAGGGAAACACGCCACCTTTCCAGAAAACAACCCCACCCATAAGCTTTAAACTAGAAACCAGCCAATTAAGCCATTAACCAGCTTGCACACATAACCAGCAATGCCACCAATATTTCAGAAAATTTTCACACAAAGCAAGTACTCATGCAAAAATGAAAATATTAGAAAAGTAGGTATTTACATTAACCTCTGTTGGGTTAACAGCAGAAAATAAATATCACAAAAAGTATATACTGTTAGTATAGAAAAGTCTGTAACTAACTTCATATACTAGGTAACTGTAATGATTCCAATAGTCTTATACATTACCTGTTGATAATGTATTAATAAATGTCCATTACCTAAAACCTAATTTCTTAATTCATAACTTTTCACTTTAACTTAGTAATTCCACATTGTAGAATCCTTCTTGAGAAGCTAATAGTCACTAACCAGATCAGAACGTTACTGTGTTCACAAGATCCAACCACTGGTCCTTGATCAGAGGGAGAAGAATACATCCGACACTCTCATAACCTATTTCTTTATGACTAATTTTAGCCATGTGACAGTAACTGTACTACAGATTTGAATTAATAATTGAATTTATTACACAGTGAATCACCTTATTTACAAACAAACAGTTCACAAGTATTTGCTATCATTTCATAATCTGTTACATCAGTCTCAGTTGTAGCTTCTGTCATCACAGACACATTGGTAGGTTTTGGGTTCTGATAACAGAGATTACTGTGTCAACTCACAGGCTCTCTATATATTGCTTTGTTGTTGTCTACCAATGAGCACACACTGCCTCCAACAGTTCCTCAACTTCTGTACATACTGTCATGTGTAAGAGTGACTCACAATGGGGTTTTGGATTGGAGATTGGATTTATTGACCACTATAACATACTCGTGACTACACTTAATTATAGCGCCATCACTAATCTCTACAATTCACAGTTCACTGTCTCACACACATACTAGTGTTTTCAGTGTTACACTCTCCTCTAGTCGTTTCCTCATAATGGCTTCTAACAGTGGAGATTCTTTAGCTTCCAAGTTCACACCACTGACAGCTGGCTCCCATCTCACAACAGAACTATGCTCAAAACTTTGTCTCGCTTTGTCTCCTTGGCATGGACCAACAGAAAACACAGCTCTTCTACTCTTGTGTGCATGTATCACTTTTAAGTGCCACGTTAAAATATTATCCCCCATCTAAAAGTTAAAAAATAAAAGTAAAGCTGTCCCTGTAATGGGCCGTGTCCCTGTATTGGGCCGTGAGAGGTTTAGGCTCCCACATCTTCTAGACAATGGGCTCATAGATGGCAGTAAGGCTATCAGCCTTACATATCAGCCACGCTTTACCACCAGGAAGATTCATGGCAATCATTTCTGTTAGAGGCTGAGTTGACCCCAGGGCCATAGTGCGGCTGGAAGGATTAGGTCAATTAAAAAAAATCCACCTCATTGGGACTTGAACCTGTGACCTTCCAGCTTGTAGTACAGTGCCTCAACCAACTATGCTACCGCATGCCCCATTATCCCCCATCTTTGCCTAAATATTCCAAATGACCTCTTCCATTCCAGTTATCCAGTCAAAATACTGCAATGTATATCTCATCTAATTCATGTCTGCTACATCCCTAATTCCATTATTGTAGCGATATTCGGCGAAGAACATACATTATGAAGCTCTTAATTCTGTTGTCTCCAGTGTCTCATTATTTACTCCATCGTAAGCCCAAATATTCTCTTCAGCAGCATGTTATCACTCACAATTACATAAAAATTACATCTTCAGTCAGTTTAGCCATTTAGTAATATCATTCAACTCCCTTCAGATGAAGGAATTCATTTCCTGCCCCTACATCCAGATCCCACTCAGCCTCCCATTAAATAGGAATAAGGGGCCCTTTCCCTGCAGGTAAAGTGGCTGGAGCATGAAACCAGACACTCACCTCCACTTAATGCAGAAGTCAGGAATGTGTGAAGCTTTACTTCCATTCCCCATACATCTTCAAGGTATGGTGCTTAAAAACAGGGACAAGTTTACCTTTCCCTTGAACCCTTTTACAACCACTGACTTCACAAAGATGAATATTAAAAGCAGACAACTTCAGTATAGTAAAACTTGTACAGTGAACAGTTTAATACATGAAAGTGCTCACCTTCCTGCTGCTTCTTGTTCCCTTCTTCATCACTGGAGACTGGCTCAGGATCGGCAAGCTCCATCTTGCTAAGAGAGGTCCGTGAACCCTGCGATGTGAGCAGAGGACGAGGAGGGGGTGAAGGAAGTTCACCCCACCTCCATGACTGTCCATGCAGAGCTGATTTCCCAGCCTCTTCCTCTTCTGTTGGGCCTACAGCTTTTGACTGACGATTAATTTCAAACTCTGTATCAGACTGCACAGGTGAGCTAGGCCGTGAGTCATGAGGGCTGTGAACATAAAGCATAACAACGTTGCATACTCATTGAACAACACTTCCTTTCAGTATCAGCTCACAAAGAGTGATACAGAATTGAAGTGTGGGTTATGTTACCAACTGGCTAGCAAACCCACTTTGTGGTACACAATACTCATTGAAAACTGATACCTACTTAAAAAGTAAAAGCTATCCCTGTAACAGGAAGTGAAGGCCTACTGGGGTTGTGAGACATCGAGGTTCCCATATTTTCTCTAGACAATGGGCTCACAGATGGAGGTAAGGTTGTCAGCCTTACGCACCAGCTGCCCTTTACCCCCCTCAAGAAGATTCCTGGTACTCATTTCTGTTAGAGGCTGAGTCGACCCAAGGGTCATAGTACGGCTGGAAGGATTAAGTAAATTGAAAAAGTCCACCTTATTGGGACTCGAACGCATGACCTTCCGGCTTGTAGCATAGTGCCTCAACCAACTATGCTACTACTTAACTGTTCCAAAAATTCTAAACCTTAATGGAAATTGATGGTTCATTACCGTATCCACAAAAGCAACAACTAAACTCTATCATAACCCAGTTGAATCCACGCCATAGTTTAACACTTAATTTCTTTAGTAACGGCTTTAATATCATCCTCCTATCTATGTCTTCCTCTTTCCCTAAGATTTTCAAGCCAAAATTTTGTTTTTCTTCCATGCACGCTACATGACATTCCCATCTCACTCTGAATCACCCAAAGAATATTAAACGATGAGTACAAACAATGACAATTCTCAATACTACATGCTCTTAACCTGGCCCTGCAAATAATTAATTAAGTACATAGTGATGGTGATAGGTTTTAATTGAAAAGTTGTCAGCTATTCGGTTCATTCAGGAATTTCCTTCTATGGGTCCAGGGAATTTATCACCACATTCACCAGAAGCCCACCGTTCATCACAATGTTTCCAGTAAGCATCTTAAAATCCAATTTCTTGAAGATCCTTTTAGCACAGTCATACATTACATTCAAAGTGTTTACATCTGATAATTCAGAAATGTTAATACTTACAGCATTAAGTCCATGTTGCCCTGAATTAAGTATATTTATTAATCAGTTCACCTCTATTCTCATGTATTCTACCTTAATGGAGTGTCACTTAAAATCTAAAATACAGGTAAGACTTCTTTCAATAGCTTCTTCACCAACAATGATATTATAAAATACCATAACCCAAGTTTAGAACCCCCAATCAGGTCACTCAGGTGATAATCCTTTGCACTTCTATTTGGGAGTTCAAAACTCAGATGTGTTACTGGCTATCTTCACAGATTTTTCATTGTTGCACTCAGTCTCTCGAGACAAATGTCATGAAAGTACCGGGAAGGTGACACAGCAGTTGGAACAGGATCATAAAACAACTTAATGACCAGCTTCTTACACTTAAAGTGACACCTCCATGAAAGATTCTACTGAAATTTTGTTGATGATCTAAATTTTTATTAAATTTCTTTGGAACAAAACTTTTATATTTTCTGTGACAGATGGCACAGACTCTCAATCCCATCTCCAGAATAGGAGTGTCAGTCAAAACTGACAAACACGTTGGGTGCAGGATATCAGTATAATCAGCACTGGCACTCTTATGTCTTTCTTTCTTTTCTGTTGATTTAACTGATTCTGGAATGACAATGGTTAACAAATGAGAAAGTTTCATGGTACCATATGATGTACCTACAGCAGTGTGCTATTCTTCCTTCACTTCCTTTTTAGACTTCCTCTGACAGGAACATACATACATATTTAAATTATCTTTCTTGTTTGCATCCTGTTGTGTGTCAATGATTGGCTATTTTTTACTATTATACTGACAGCCAGAATACCACAAATATTTAAATTATTAAACTTAAACTTAAATTTCATAAAATATTTTACCTACACTTGTAATGTATGAACAAAGAACCTCCATGAGAAGCAATAAACAGTAGAATTATAGATGCTTCTCTTCTCTCAGAAAATAAAATATGTTTCGTAGAGGTAAACACAAAACTGCTTTACTTTAACACTTTAACATCCAAGAAAGTCAGCGGTTGGATGTAAAGTTCTTCCTCTTTATATACTTCATAATGAAGTAAAAAGCATTTGTCGGTATACACACATAACCATCAGTCAACCCAAAGGGATTCTGATCAGTTTTCATATCAGAATTGGCAAAATTCAAAACCTTGAATTTCTGAATCTCTGAACATGTGTGTTACCTGAGCCTGCTGCTTTCACCTCATTAAATAACACACATACATATACTACTACAGTCAATAAGGTCGTGGAATGGCCACAAAGTGTCGTATGGGAATTTACTGCCAATATGTTTCAGCAATGTTTTCGACAGCTATATCAACGTTGGCAGACTTGCATAGCGGCCAACAGCAACTATTTTGAGGGCCAATGTGGATCTGCGTAAGTGTATGTGAATACCTTGTAATATGATGTGATAAAACCACATTCCACGAACTTAATGACTCTACCACGTACATCGACATACACAGTCTTATTAACACAGTGGACCTGGTGAGCTAGAGATAAGATGATAATGTTCCAAGCAGAGGTCTTGGGTTTGAGAGCAGCCAGCTCCAGCATGAATTCTTCTGCATGTCTTCCCCTTCCTTCACCTCCAACAGTTTTCAATCTGGTGCATATGTATACACACAAAAGCTTATTTACCTAGATCTTTATAGCTGATCTTTTATGTAATAACATTATGTAACCTGGTAGGCACATATCACCACTTCAGAGAAACAGACTTCCTTTGTGTGTTTTTTTCATCTGAGTCCCACATACCAACAAAATAAGGAAATTTATATTCTACTAATGGGGGCACGTGGTAGCGTAGTTGGTTGAGGCACTCTGCAACTAGCCGGAAGGTCATGGGATCGCATCCCAATGAGGTAGATTTTTCAATTTACCTAATCCTTCCAGCCGCAATATGGCCCTGGGGTTGACTCAGCCTCTAACAGAAATGAGTACCAGGAATATTCTTGGGGGTAAAGGGCGGCCGGCACATAAGGCTGACGACCTTACTGCCATCTACGAGTTGACTGTCTGGAAAATGTGGGAACCTCAACATCTCACAACCCTATGGGCCTCCACAGCCTGTTACAGGGATACCTTTACTTTTTTTACTTTTATTCTACTATGGTGATAATAACAATTTCCATGTCATATAAGAGCAAAAATGTTTCAAAGTTTACCGACGGACATAAATGCAGGACATAAAACTCCTTTAAAAAACCACTTGCAATACTATCACGATGCTCATGCTATTTCATGCCCACTTAATATGAAATAAGACTCTAACACCCATTAGCTACATCAGAGGCAGTGACACCAGACATTCAATAACACAGGGGCACATAAGATGACATATCCAAGAGAAGAATAATTACACATCAAGTTAGGATATTTAAATTCAACAATCTTATCACATGATCATACATGCTATCTTACATTTACTGCCTTACTGCAACTTTTAACTTACTTCTAAGAAGCACTTGCGAATATTTTGTAGTCTCACATTTCCAAGCATGAGATTGTAAAATATCCCATGATCAATAGTTTAAACACATAACAATATATCACATATAACACATATCTCAAAATTATATGACAGCAATTCCTGAAAACCTAACAGAATTATAAATTATTAAATTACAAGTTCAGAATACCATGGCCAGCAAAAGTCTAAATGCTGTCAAAGGTGAAAAGCAATCCTGCCCCCCACCCCAACCAATTAAAAATAGATAAACTATCTCAAAGCTTCATCACAATTAATAACACAAAATGTTCAGACACTAAGATGAGAACTGTCATTGGTGTTGCAACTCCTAAAACGAATTTGTTCACATTGCTGCAAAACATGTTTGGATGACTGCCACATTATGAATTGAGAAGCAACAGAAATGACTTTTGCATAATGGAAAAATTGGGCTCTGAATGTGCCACTCCAAAAATCATACCACACCAGGCAACTGCTTTGTACCCCTGTGTTGTCACATTAGCCATGCACAGTGTTCACTTTACAGGCTAAAAATACTGAGGTTGGTATCAGCAAAAATGTTTTACCTAAACATGAATGAAATATTAGGTTTTAATGTTTGACAATACAACTTTGAAGAGAATGAAAACAGCATGCTACCAGTAAAAGACGGGAATAGTCATGTCAGAATATTGAAGAAAATACCAGTGTTTGAGCAGAAGTATGATATATTCCTCCACTCTTCAGTCACTCTAAAATCAATAATACTTTCAAAACTGATTTGGTTCTGGCTTAGTGTGCTCTTGCTTGTTTTTGTCTGGTCAATGTTTTTAGCCCTGATATTCCACACTGAACCCCCTTGCAAGAGGATTTACCGTCACATTTATCAGGCCCTCTGTAAAAACATATCCTATGGAAATGCACATAAATCTACATATTAACCAACATTTGTTTTGTCTGTACAGTTGGATACTTTTCCTATGCATACTGATTTTAAAAAGCAGCCCTGTGTTGTTGTAACATCTATTTTGAGTACTACGGAGTATAGAACAGTAGTCGAGAACTGTGTCGAGTTTTGTAGATGGCAGTTGAAGGTCGCTGGTAAGAAATGGAAAGAGAGGAATGAGATGCTGCCAAGATGACTTCATGTGTGAGTTGAAGTTGCAGTGAGACTGTGATAAACCCACTGCCAGGATACAGCTCGTGAAGACTTAGGACCCTAGTGCCTGTATAACAGTGAACTGGAAAGTGTGCAGAATAGTGATAGCACTGTGCTGCCTGTAGTCCAGAACTGTGTGAATGTATAAGGTGGAATAAATCCAATCCAAATCCCATCTTATAAGTCATCTCTACACATGACAAGTCCTATTTACCTACCTAAATTGTGATTAAAAAAAAAGACTCCGTGGTCTGTAGTCCGAAAGCAAACTACACTGAGTGACCGCTGCTTGTTGGCGAAGTTAGTGCCAACTTTAGCAGATACAGGGTGTCACGTGGTCAGCGCAACAGATCCCCATGGGCGTTAATCTCGGTTTTCTGTGATTCGCCATACCAAAAAATGTAAAAAGTTACTTTACTTGTACTATACACATCCTTCATTTGCTAAACTGTTTCAAGCCATCTAAAGTACCTCAAGACAATGATTTTTATCACTGGAAATCAGATCTTAAAAAACACGTTTTAAGACTTAGTAAGTGAGGCTGAGGGCCTGTATCTCAATAATAAGAAAAATAAAATGTTTTATACATATAGCTGGGACACCTGTGAAGTTGATGTCCACATAAAAGTAAACAGTAAAAACGCAATTTCAAAACTCATATTATGTCTATCTTCTAGAAGTACTGTCACCTGCTTCCTTATCTCTGTACTTACACATTTAAACCACTTCTATTTTACTCTGCCTACAATTCCACAGCTAAAATAAGAAAACAGTTGGAATGGTAATGTCAACATAGTGACATGAATTTCTTAAAAAAAAAAAGAGAAAACTGAAATAAAGTCTTTCAGTACAATTACTATTCTGATTGTCTTCTCACACACCACACAGAAGGATCAACTATATCCAGGTGAACAAGCCAACATATTCTTTGAGACCTACCCATGTAAAACACAGTTCAGTAATTTAATCCATAGCACAAGTACAATGTGCTTCATATTCAAGAGATTATACACCTATCACACAAGCCATTGTGGTTGTGTGAACAAGGTTCTCTTTAGCTGACCAAAAAGTTCTGGAGCCATAACTTCATACAAACCACAAGATCATACTATTAATTTATAATTTATAAACATGTTTCCAAATACCTTCGTAGGACATTAAATTATGTGATAACATAAAAACAATTCAAATCCAAAATACAAGAAAATATCCTATAAAGGAAGTGAAGACTTCAATAGCATACTGCTAGATTGCCATATTCTGCAAGTGCCTTAAGCTGTTACTGCATTCATTTCATTATGCATATTTTAAGTTCACTGGTTACAGTAAGGAGTCTCTAAATTCAAATTTCCATTAACTGTTCATTCTGAATTCAATACGAAATCTGCCATGAAATAATCATGAAACACTTGGCATTCAACTGTAAAAGTATCTGTCATTCAATTTAATATTTCATGCATTAAACTCCAAACTTAGAAGTTGTCAAATTGTTCAAGATCATGAAACATGAAATATTTCAGTATGTTCACTAAAGGATTATTCAGAGCACTGAGGCATAACCTTCAGTATAACTGATATTCACGATAATGCTTAGTACACCAAAATATTATATAAACTTGTCATATCTGGTTGCAGAAAAGGACGTATGTCTGAAACCGAGTAAATGAATTTGGCACATGTGAAATTATAACTACAAAAGCATATTACCTGATTGTACATACTCAAAATATTTATATAAATCAAGTAAAAATTCTGCAACAAATTCCTAAAAGAATAAAGTTAAATTTCCACATATTTTTCTTGTATCGTACATGAAACATAGCAACTATCATTCAGTTAATTTTCTGTGGCCTAAGTAGCAAACATCACCCAAATGGGTGCACATCATGCAGCTGTCATAGAATGGCAAAGGAACTGTATAGTACATGAACAAACATGGGATAGAAGACAAGAACAAAACAAATGCTTTTGGATGATGATGCAGTATCTTATTAGTGAAGGACATCCATCATATGACTATGACAGCTTTTTTATTTTTGCTTATAGTCATTACATGCATTCCTACTTATCACTTTCAAGTATACATAGTTTAAAGGACATCCATTATATAGATACCTTACAGGCATTACATGCATTCCTACCTATTACTTTCAAGTACATAGTTTATACTAAACATCTCATTCCTACCAACTACATGCCTGGAAATACTGTATCGTTTTTTGTGTTGTATGAGTTTTCCGTTTGAACATGTCAATCTGAGTGAGATTTGCAAATGTTAGAACACAGTAACATATAGATCAGGACATCCTGCAATATAAAAATGGAATATTATGATAATATTTATACTGTAAAGCTGATTTTAATTTAACATTTAAATTGTTATATCGGTGCAGAAATTACGAAAACACCTCAATTAAACTGACAGCATGTATAATAAATCATCTATTACAGAACCCTGTTCTGGTATACAAAATAAAAAATGAACCTGTCTCACTGAAATCAAATAAAAGCCATTCAAACTGTCAGTCAATAAAATTACACCACTTGAAAAACGTCACCGGTGAAATCTACATGCATAAGAAACAACAGCATTAATAGAAAAAGTGTAATTATTAACAGCAAAATAAAAAAAAAGTATGAAATAATGTTATTTACAAGTGTCCATGAGTTGTTAGCACTTCGAACGTGGCATCAGAGAGGGCGGTAGGAATCCTGCGACCTTCAATACCACGACTGGCAGAAACAACCAAAAGCTCAGGTTAGGTTTACCCCCACATCCAAGCTTCAAAAGGCTCTGCACTAGTGTAAGAATGGACTGTGATTTACGTATTTTAATTTGCATTATCATACTGATTTAGAATGTAGATATTTGCTACCTACATTAAGCAAGTGGCTTATATGACTTCTACAACACAGAAATCTGGTAGTGAGGCAAGAACACAATAACCTTCACAAGACTTGCAATAATTTACTCCACTTGTTATATATTCATATCTGTAACTGAACTTCAACTTTCTTTCATGACACGGTATGAACCCCATTAACCCAACACTGGTAACTGATAATTATCAAAAGTTTAAGATATTTCATAAAATCATTTACTTCAAACATTAAACTCACACTTATTGGCGATACAGAAGAAAATCAGCTTCTTATGTATCATTCTGTGATTATTATTATAAAATATTTGTTATTAGTTTTCACTCCATTGGACCAAACATGCAACATCTGTAAAGTTGTCCCTGTGCTTAACACTTTTGCACTCAGCCTATTTTCCCAGAACCTGGCCTAAACCACTCTGGTCAATTTGGCTCAATTTACAAGTCTCACCTAAAAAATTCACCAAAAATACAATTTTGGTCAAAGATTCATTTCATTCATCAGTAATCTGTCAGACATCAGGTCCACAGTCTCTTCCAAAACAGTTCCTCCACTTAATGCGATCTCAAGCTTTCTCCTTATTCACACTTATTCACTATAAACAGCAGATTTAAACAAAAATAGCCTACAAGTACTAACACTATAAATAATTTGAAAAAAAAAATAAGACTGAAAGAATTAAATATATAAATTTAAAATTTACATAATTTTGGCAAGAAACAACATTTATTTTGTCTTCTTATCTTGCCATCAAGACTGTAAGAAAGAGGGTATTTTTCTGTAAATTTTGATATAAGTTTTATGCATGAAGAGCTTTCTGGTCCAGAACTACATCACATTATGTACCTTTTGCAGTTAGCATATGTGTTTAAAGAAGCATTCTCCATGCAGTCCCTTGTTGCATTTGGTGCATACTGTTCTAGCTCTCTACCTCCTTTCCTTTGTGTTGCAATGACTCTTTCTTTTCAGAGAGTTTTCTGAGTCCTTGTGGTCTCCGAGGATCATCTACTCCAGCATTGTCCTTCAATTATGGACAGGGTGTAGCTGTACCTGGATTTCAATTTTCCACGCCCCCTGTAGCTATTCAGCACCATCCTGGCTATGATGTTGAAAGCTACATTTTTTCAATAATGCACTGTCTGCCTTTCATCCAACTAAGTGTACAGCACCGTGTCTGAAGAGTCAATGCTGCCCATAAACCTGTTGTCGGATATGATGATTTTTGGCTTTGTTTGTGGACTGCCACCATGTCTTCCCCGTACTTTCTCTTCTTGGGCTGTGGCATGAGTGGAGAGAAGAGTGACAGAATTTTTGTGATTTCTTCTTGTGGAAAACATATGAGAAGGGGACCAGATCTGCAATATATTTTTTGTCCAATTGCAAATTTGTTCTTGAAATGCTGGGGTAAAACTTCTGTATTCCTCTGAATATTTCCATTGATGAAGGTGCTTAGCTGATGGAGATGTCGACAAGTGGAACAGACATAAAATAGCTGTCAATAAATACATGGTACCCTTTATTGAGGTACTCTCCGATAACAAGCAGTGTTCTCATGACAGTGTATCCCAGGCCATTTTTTTATGTTGTCCTTGTCTTCCCGAGACCTGGGCCCACTGTATGTGGGGGGAAAAAAAAAAAAANAAAAAAAACAGGCAGTAATTGGCCACAAGAGTCATGCAACATCCAAAATTTGACTTCACAATGCCAGTGGTGGTGGTTGGGCAAATTTGTTTTTGATACCTACCAGGCTTTCAATGACACTAATTTCTTGATGAGGGGTGTAGTGATACCTGAATACCCTGTCTGCATGGTTCAAAAGTCGTTAGTACCTTGCACAGGGATCACACTCTGGTTTTCAAGGACCTGACAATCCTTCACCGTTGATGAGGTGGAAGAAGTGCAGAAAGTGGGAAAAGCTATTCATGGTAAACATTTTCCTAGACCATGGGGTGGCCTGGGAACATAGAGTGGACCAATATGATGCTATGGCTGATGATGGCCATATTTAGAATACAGGCCTGGAATCCTTTCATCTCATACATGGTAATTCTGGTTCAGTTCTTTAGCAGAGTGGGAACATTACCCACTTTACTGCTAATCACCTGCTGCACACATCTGTTGGATTCTGTCACCGAGGGTAAGGATAAAGTCTGTGAAGAAGAGATGAAAGGAAACAATGGGAGGAGAGTCAGGAGAAGGAACATTTTTAGGTCCAGACAGTTCCTGGAATTGGAAAGGAAGAGGCAGAGGTTGCTCAGGTAATAGAATTTCCCTGTAGTCATCATCATCCATGCCATCCTCTTTGCTGTTGTGACATGTGGGTCTCCTCCTTTTCCTTCTCCTTCTCCTCCTCCTCCTCCTCCTCCTCTTGTATCATCAGTGTTACTTTCCAGAATAAAGTCACTATCACCATCAACTGTATCTAAATATTCCAACATGTCAGAGTCAACTAACTCAGAGCTTTGACCAGTCACGGTCTAGTTAAAATCGTAAAATAATTAAATATGTATATACTATACACTCTGATAAATATAATGAAAATATGATAAATAATATATGACCTTTGAGCCATTTATGTAAATAAAAGTGCATGATTTAGATGGAGCCGATAGATTAGCCACCTGAGTGTTCTGGCCATTACTTGATGTGCCGACAGATTGGCGTGCTGAGTATATAAGGGTTAATTAGTTCACACTATAAGAGAATTTAAATGAAAAACAAGGAGCCTTCTTTTAAAAACTTGTAAATTTGTGTTTATATATATACATGTACATATCAGACAGAAGTGTTTTTTCCAACACATGGACTGGAAGAATTACTACCATGGCTCAGAAAATCTGTAACAAATTCTCTCTTCAAAAGCTACAACTGCAAAGAGAGAATCTCCCTCTGTATCTCACTGAGCAATGTCAATAAGAGAACAAGTAAAATTAACAAACAGGAAGATCTGTGAGGAAGTGAGGAGATATAAAAGTGAAGTTCCACACATTCTTAACTTCGAGAATAGATAGAGGTAAGTGGCTGACTCGACATAGCAGTTACTTTAACCCAGAAAAACAATCCCAACTTCCATGCCAGGAATCAAAATGCATTCATCCAGCCTCATTTTTTCAAGCCTATGTGTCTATAAGGCTGCCTACCCCCAGTAACTTCAGAACTGATTTTACTTGAACTTTGTATAAATATCATGCCATGGTACCAAGAAATTTTCACAGAAGATTATGGTATGAAGTATTTTCAAGTTCATTTGTTTCAAGCAAACTTTGTAGTGTACTAACCTGTTTGAGTTATTTATAAACAGTGTATTACAGATTTATGTACATGAAATTCCAAACACAGGATATTTTAGTGCAGGTATACAAGTTTCTCTATACAGCCTGCCCCATAAGGATTGTGTTGTGAAGGTCAAAATATGATATCTTTGTGGGACCACGAACCTAGGAACATTATATGTAAGTAACCACCAAGAACGACAAAATGGTTTCTGAAATTGAAGGACAGATTTTTCTGCACAGGCACACTAGTAATACTTAATTTTTAAAATAAATTACTGCTTTAATACAGATACTATGTATGTCAAAATTGTAAGACATACCCTCAACGTTTTCAAGGTCATCAACTGATAAATAAATATATAAATAAGAGCACATACAGAATTTCTGGGTATGTTTAAGATCCACCTCCATACAAAATTCTCACACCTAGCTCAAATCGTTCAGCAGTTATCATTATCAAACTGATTTGCTAATTACAGATTTCATACAGACACCATTCTGTAGCTTTACATTCTACAATCTACAGACCTAATATTTTAAAAACGACTAAGTCATACACTAAGCCAACTCACCCACAGCCAGGAGTAGCCTCTGTGTCACTGAAGAAGTGAAAGTCAATCTCAGTGGAAGCATGCTGTATCCTGGCCAGCTCACAATCTGTGTCCAATGGTACACTGGTCTCATCACCCAAGACTGTGCTTGCAACCACGGAAGTTCCAAAAGTGACTGCCAATGGGGTCTTTGAACAGGATTCACAGTCTACAGTAGAAGTGCATACAGGGCCTTCTGGGTCACTGATGATGACGAACCTACAGTGACTGCATGGTTGCTGACACATAAAACAAGAGAATTTCACATGTAGCAAACAATAATACCATCAAAACATGAATGGGAAAGGAAGAGTTTTGTGTACTTAATTGCGCTAAGTCAATGCAGTAGAGCCTTCCTTTCACAAGTCTGCCACTGATCCATAATCTGAGCCAGACAAATCCAGTCTCCTCTTCCTTTCTTTAAAATCCACTTTAATATTATTATTATTACCACCAACATCTTGATTCCAAACAGTATCTTCATTCAGGTTATCTGAACAAAATTCCATATGCATTCTCAACTCTCAGCCGTGCTACATGTTCCAATCATCCTCCCTCATTTGATCACCCTAATAATATTTGATGAAAAGTACAAATTATGAAGCGCCTCATCATGAAATTTTCTCCGCCACCTGTACCTTCCTTTCTTTTAGGTCCAAATGTTCTCCTCAATACCCTGTTCTAAAACAATCAATTCATGTTCTTCCCTTAACGTGAGAGACCAAGTTTCATACCACCCATAAAGATTTTTGTCTTCTAGGTAGAAAGTAAACATACAAGAGGATAGATTATGTCAGTCTGCCTGTCAGTGTCTCAGCTCTGAAATTTTTTTACAGAATTTTGACAAACTTTGTTCACCCTGGAAAATCTGTTGTCACATTTTGTACCAGGACACTATAACCTCTACTTTATTTCAAGATGCAAAGAAGTTTCATCAGTTTTCTCAAAACGACTCATCATATAAAAAAATTTTGCCATAAAATATCACAAAATCAGTCTCATTATAATCTTTTATTTCTGATATTTTTAAATGTCGTGAATATTTAATGAAATTTGAGGAAAATAATTTCAGACCCATATTTACATGTTCAATAAATGGAGTGATGCCAGTTATGCACTGCAAACTGTAAGGAATAGAATTAAGTATTATCTTGTTCTGTTACAGAAAAATACTGCAGTTTTAATCATGTAATACCCTAGAATCAATTTATTATCACAGCCACCACATCAATTATGGACTAAAACCAAAGAAAAATCTCTTGTTTCAACCAGTCATGGGAGAATTACGACTGTAGTACAAATGAAGTAATTTCAACTCATATCAACCTACTTTAATACAAGAAAAGAGAAAATGAGCAAGAGCTTCAAATTGTATACCCTTCATCAAATATTATTATGACAGACTGTAAAGCATGAGATACCGCATACCTGAGGGAAATGATAAATGCATATAACACTTTAGTAAAAAAAAAAAACAATGAGGGAGATCACTTTGGAGCCAATGTCATAGATGAGAGGACAGTATCAAAACAGATATTAAAGAACCAGGGTAAGTATGTGGATTGGATTCAAGTGGTACAAGAAGATAGGATACAGCAGTGGGCTGCTGTGAATATTGTAACAAGCCTTCAGGTTCCATAAAAGACAGGAAATTTCTTGGTCAGCTGAGTAAGTATTGGCTTCTCAAGCATTATGCTCAATGGAACTGTTATGATTGTGTCCAACAGTGGGCTCCGGTATTAGATATGCTGAGCCTTTTGGGCTTGGCTATAAGTGTTGAATAGCTGGTTAGTTAGCTCAGATTTTCACAATGATGAAAATTTATATTGTCTTCTAGGTTATGACACCTAGTAGTTCCTCTGAAATATTGGTGGCCATCTACAAGGTATATTAAGTGTCGTAAGTCAGAAAACCACAATCTTAAAATAAAAGTTAAATGTCTAATTACTGGTATTTAGTTGCACAAGGCAATTCATTTGGCAACACTGCTGCATTTAAACTTGCCTTCTGGATACATGACCTTGTACCAGCCACTTCCTGTGTCAGTTCCATGTAAACAATCTCTAGCAAAGATGATCTACTCACGGGTGTAACAATGCTTATTCAGTGCTGAAGATGATTTTAATAGATAATATGTTATACTCCTGTCAACACAAAATACTTCCAGGGGTGGAGTTTGCTGTCTAGGTAAAGAGGTCCAAGTGCTGGAAATAGTATTGTGTTGACAGTAATACAATAAATATTATCCATAGTGTTTATGTAACAGGATTCAACAAAATATGTGTATGAGGAAAGATTTTAATAATTCTTCTCTATTCATTTCATAACATTCCTCAGCAACCAAGATTATGTAGTGCCAGATAGTAGAATTATTTGTAAATGATGGATTGGGAAGGAGGTGGAAGGGAGCAGTCTTGGCCTATTGGCCTTGTGCTGCCTGGGAAGACTGAGAATGATCACAAAAACCATCAGTCAGGAAAAATGAGGTCACTTTCAGAATCTTTCATGAATGTGTATATTCTAATGTTACAGTAAAATTGGTGCAATTAATGTAAATAAATTATTATCTCTCCTATGGGTTGCACAAATTGACAATTGCTTCAATTACTGAAACAAAAAAATTCAGTAAATTAATCTGTTATATACAAATTACACTGACAGAACTAATGAACACCATATATGAAATTGGAGAGTGGCCCAAGGACTTTACAGAAGTGACAATGATTGCCTTAAAGAAAAAGACAAAAGCTACAAAATGCAGCGACCATCGCACAATAAGCCTTATTGCACATACAGCAAAGATAATAGCAAAGTAGATCAGTTTGGATTTAGAAGAGGAAAAGGAACCAGGGATGCAATTGGGATGATGAGAATTATAGCAGAACGAACTTTGGAGATAGAGGAAGAACTGTGTGTTTGCTTCATAGACTGACAGAAGGCATTTGACCGTGTAAACTGGACAAAATTAATGCAGATCCTAAAGGAAACAGGTATGACCTTGGGGACAGAAGAGGATACTGTCATTTGTAGGAGAATGCTCTAGATCGCATTAAGTGGAGGAATTGTTTTGGAAGAGACTGTGGACCTGTCATCTGACAGATTACTGATGATGATGATACAAATTACTTTCAACACCAGGCCTTAAGCACATCTCACACAGTGGCATGTTAAAACTTGCCAGCTGGATATCTTACACAAGCCACAGGCAAGACCTAATGAGTTTTCAGAAAAATTCTGAATTCCTACAAAAATACCAAATGGTTACTAAAAATACCACCAACCTTGTAAAGAAAACCTTTAGTTTTACAAACAAGGTTCATTCTAAAAGTAAGTTCCATTCACTTTCTATTACAAAAGTTTTCTTTCCACAATTCTGCAACTCTTCCAAATACTCTTGTGTTTCTACTGTTCCCAGTACAAGGCTCAATTATTCTGAATCATCAACTGCAAAGTCAAAATCATGTAAAGCAGCTGCATTTTAGATATTTGCTTTTAGCCATATACTTCACTATTCCAGAAGTTGTGATGGCCTTTGTTACTAAGAAAATAAATGTTATGGCATTCCTACACCAACATTACTTCTCTGTCTTGGCCTCATCTGATCTCTGGCTGTTCCAAAAGATGGAATTTCACTCTGAAGAATATTTCAGTCAATCACTCAAAAAAATGTACAAAAGAAAATGTAACACTAAAAAGTTCATAAAACGTTTAAAAATTTGGTACACAGGTGCCCGGTATATAAAAAGGGAGGAGACATGTCTGCATAAAAGTGAATAAGGTTTGTGCATTCTGATTTCACAATATTTATGTCAAAATGGAATGTACGTGGGGCAATCCAAAAGTTTCCGAAATTTGAATTTTGCGCACAAATGGTTATGAGTACACCGAAATACCGCTAGGTGTTTCCTCACACATCCTTCCTGAATCAGTGTGGCAAGCGGAGTCAAGTTGAGTGGTTGGCTTTATTGTTGGTGAACGTATTTCCATTGTTGTGTTTCCGTGAGTTTGCAGTTTTGCGATGGCTGACCTGAGAGAGCAGCGTGTCTGTATAAAGTTTTGTTTCAAACTTGGGAAAACTGCTGCAGAAATGCACCAAATGTTGAAGCAAGCGTTTGGTGAAAACAGTTTAGACCAGACACAAACTTATAATTGGTATAAGCGTTTTAAAAATGGCCAAACATTGACTGATGATGACGATCGTTCGAGACGGCCGTCAACGGGCAAAACACCAGAAAATGTCGCGAAAGTTAGGGATCTGAATCTGCAAGATCGTAGACTGACCCTCCAAAGCCTCTGTAACACCTTGGGACTAAGTTATGGTACATGTCAATGAATTTTGTCAGAGGAACTGAACATGAGGATTGCGGCGAAGTTTGTGCCACGACTGCTGCAAAATGAACACAAGCAGCATCGCTTGGAAGTCTGCAGGGAACTTCAGCAACTGCTTCAAGAGGATCCAAACTTTCTTTCGAAGGTTGTCACTGGTGACGAAAGTTGGGTTTATGGCTATGACCCTGAAAGCAAGCAGCAATCATCGCGATGGAAGAGCCCTTCTTCACCTCGACCAAAAAAAGCTCGACAAGTCAAGAGCAACATAAAGTCCATGGTGATCTGTTTTTTTATATTGACGGGATTGTTCATAAGGAGTTCGTCCCTCCTGGTCAGACAGTCAATAAAGAGTTCTATTGCGATGTTGTAAGGCGTTTGAGGGAGAACATGAGGAGAAAGCCTCCAGAGAAGTGGCGCATGAACGACTGGGTACTCCACCATGACAACGCACGACCGCATACGGCTTACACAGTGCAGGAATTTTTGGCTAAAAACAAGATGGCAGTTGTTCCCCACCCACCGCACTCACCAGACTTAGCTCCATGTGACTTCTTTCTCTTCCCCAAGATGANATATTTTGGTAACTTTTGGATGTAACCATGTATGTTTGGAATTTGCAGTTCTCAGGTTCACAGCCTCTCAAGAGTCCTCTTTTGGCCCATTCAATGAAATAACTGTCATTCATGACAGACTGGTGGCATACCAATTTGGTTTGCAGATTCACATGCAAAGTGTGGCCACATACCTCTTGTGAAGATGATCCATTTTCAGTCTGGCTATTCAAATCCTCAATCGGGAACACGCCTTGATCAGATGAATCATCCGTTACACCTTGCTGCATTTCACTTGAGGTCTTTGCCAGCCCATTGGTATCATTTATATCAAACTGTTCAATCTGATTGCTGGACCCAGCTCCATTTTTCCTCTGCGCTGCACCTTTCTTCTTCATGAGCGACTTCCTACGGCGTTTTCGTTTCCCTCCAGCATTAGGTTTCAAAAGATCTTCATTACTAGCAGCTGAAATGTCCTTCCCAGAATCCCTCCCCAACACACCATGGCTTGACACCTGTTCCTGATATGAGCTAGAATCTTCTGTGGCACTCTGTCCATCTAACACATCTTCCACCAGTAAACCTTCATCATTTCTTATGGAAGGAACATCATCTTCCACAATTAATGAGATTGGGCGAAAGTCAGCTGCAACAACACTGATGAGACGTAGTTTCTCAGATTTGTCGCCATCATTAGAAACGGTTTCTGCGCAGAATGTTTTGGGAACAGAAGTACCAGCAGTTACTATGACAGGTTTCTGTGACTCTATATTATCTTTGGTTACAAAACTCTCTGCAGAGCCATCTTGATCAGGTACTTGGTTTTTTACTTGACTAGAATCCTGAGACAGCTGACCAGCAACTGAGTCTTCACCCTGTACTTCCTCAAATCTGTTTTGCTCTCCACTGCATGCAATATCAACATTCTTGCCATCTAAATCTGCATTTCTGCAAGTATTATCATGAATCTCGATATCTGTTCCTTCTCTACCATGGAAATGGGGTAGGAAATCATCATCAGGGATAGGAGAGCAGGCAAGATGTGGAGGGATGATTTCATCATCTCCCAGCTCACTAGGAGTTACTTCCTCCACAAAGAATGCCTCGCCTGAATCTCCAAGTTTCATGTGAATATTAAGTGCCTCGCCATTGATCTCGATATCAACCTGCCAAAAAAAGAGAACACAATTATTCTCTGGCACAAGTTTCCTACATCACTCTAGATACCCAAAATTAATTCCATCAGCACCAACTCTATTATTCCGAACAGTGGTTACCTGTTTCAGTACACTTTGGGTTCCATAATCCATTACATAAAGTGAAAATAGATGTATTACACATGTATACTGGAAAGAGAATCTCCAGACAAGCAGGTTTGGAGGAATAATTTAAAGAAGGCCAAGGCCTGACTTCAGGTAGCAATGCCAGAGGAGGAGGAAGGGGAGGGGGGAGAATAAGAAGAAGGATACACATGTATGTGTCAGTTCTAGCCAAACATCAGACTACATGGACTAACTTGTCAAAGAGACAGTAGAAATAAAACTATACCTGAATAACATCAACCGAAAGGAAAGATTCAGACTTATTAAAGCATGGAACTCCAATACCAGATTATTAAGGTAACCCATTCCATATATTACTGGAAAACACCCAAGAGGCCAAACACATAGAACATGCTAAAAAAAAAAGATAGGAAAACAGGAGACAAAATAATCAACAAACAGGAACACCAGGTTAAGTGACATGGTGATAGGTTAGTCAGATGGGTGACCACATAATTTTACTCTGGCATCCTACCACATACTGCGCCAACAGGAGGACGCAATGATTGACAGTCTGGTATCTATATCAGTGACATATGGGCATTCAACATAATGACCTTGATGATGGAAAAGCAGGTCTCTGAAATGTTGGTTCTAACTCAAGACTGAAATGGCTGGTCACCCAAGAAGATTTTAGTCTATCCTCCCTGACAGATCTGAATCTTGCATAATGGTTTTTGTGTGTTTAGTAACTTCCCTTCCTTACTGAAATACACAATTTCCATAGCGCCTCTGATCTCCTGTTACTTCAATTTTAAGTAATGGTCCAATGATGGGACCCATGGTGTGCTGAAACACGCAACTAGTGATACTAAATAAGAGTGTTGTTGTTGATAGAAATAACATGTGAATTCCTATAGTGATCACAAAAACACAAATAAAACTGGTTTCCTACATCCTTACTTAAATAAGTAGTAGTACTCCTGGCATCAAGAATAAGACATTCAGGACAACAGAAAAACATCATTATCAGACATTCCATGCTCCAAGTAGGAGTCAACCCCATTATCCCATTGCTCAAGCACTTCATTACTTGCATGACTTATATCATACAGTCATAGGGATCACTATAATTCAGTTACTAAATCTAACCAAAGCATTTATGGCATAAAACATAAGGAAGATGGAAATTCACAATGTAACCATGATTTACACACATTTAAAATAAAAAAGTTCATGAAAGTGCAGTCACAAGGTGAGTCTGCAAGACATGTATCCTGAAGTGATTCACTGAACCTTCAACATGGATGTGTCGCCATACAACACAAATAAACTGTTTTGCTACACAGTTCCTGCAAAAATTTAGACCTTTAGTATATGACAACATGAGCTTTTCTCCTTCCTCCTCCAAAGTCACTGCACTGAATCTATCATCCATTGTTTCACTGTTATTTCTACATCATTTGTGATTATGGCCTTCTGTTCCTCTGCTTCCAATGCTGAAGCAACATCTGAGGAGATAGAAATTAAAATAACAGCTGAGGATAACAAGGATAGTACCTTACAACGGGCATTAGTTACTTCCACATTCTTCCAAGTTCACAACTATACCCCCAATGAATACTACAAAAGTTATGCAGCTGAGAAAGCATAATTATACAAAATAATGCAGCTCATACAAATATGATCTGAGAGCCATGATATGATTTAAATGTCAGTTACCTGAAAAAGACATATGGCAATCAGATTTTCTGGACATCTTTCACACAGCTTTCAGAGCATTTATGTATTCATCTGTAACCTACTCAGACATGCTGTACCAACCCTGAAGTAATGTCACATAAGAAATGACAGGACTAACGATAATTATGAGTTCAGAACAATATGTGAGGAAGTAGCTAGATATCTTAAGGTACTAGTGGAAAAGTCCTCTTGAAATTCACAGGAAAATAATTTCTTTCATGCCTTCATCCCTCATTCTTTTGTTCATTACTTCCTTTCTTTTACCCCTTCCTTATCTTTACTTCCTTCCCTGAATAGTTACATCATTATCCTGCAGACAGCACATCACTTGTGTAAAGAAGTACGAGTACATACCAAACATATTCACGCCCACACACATAGTCAATAATAAACTTTATCCTGTTATATACATATTATGCCAGCACTTATTTGAAGAAAATGTGGAAAACCGTGAAAATCTTTTGTCACGATAGTTGGTATCATGACTAGGATTACAGACACAACAAAGCAGTTCAGATCTATTTCAAAGCAGAGAAACTGAACAAAACCAGGAAAACTTCAGCTAGGATTTCTGGCCTCCCAGCCAACAGTGAAAACTTAGGGCTTCTGGCTCATGCTATCACAGTACGTTCCCATCTGTCAAACATAACATCTGTTCTAACACCCAGAATAACCCCTGAATCCTGTTAACCAACATGACACATTCTCTTACAAGATATCAAACTGTTCACTTCACACCACCATTAGTAAACTACACGAGTACATGTACATGTACAGTACCCAAACATGTGCTTCTAATACCATTTATTTGAACACAAACATATACAAGCTATATCTCTGAAGTGAAGTTGTCAAAGAACAATTTCATATTCAAACAGAAATTTGATGTCACTGATCTAAATATTCTGTACAATACTGTAAACAGGTAAAGGTAAAAGAAAAAGTTGTCCCCGTGCTCAACAAATTAAGCACTATGCCATGAAGGCGTATGGGGGAGTGAATGTAAACAAGACATCTTAAAAAATACAGGGCACTCGAGACTGCAAACAGAAATGTTTAAGACTAGGAGCTATGTAGATATTTATGTGGATCCTTTAAAAAAAGGCCATGAGGTGACGTCTGAACGTTTGAAATGATGGATTCACCTATCTGCTGAGTCTGCATAATCCATTTCGGAAGGTGCCATTCCTTTCTGTTCCACATGTCTGGCTAATTTCAATACACTAAAATGTTATTCTTTACACTTCTAAGTGACTGCAACAACTGGGGATTTCAACCCATATCACTCATCGGGCAAAAAAAAAAATAAAATAAAGCTAACCCTGTAACAGGCTGTGAAGGCCCATGGGATTATGAGATGTCAAGGCTCTCACATCTTTTAGACAATCGGCTCACAGATGGCAGTAGGGTTGTCAGCCTTACGTGCTGGCCACTCTTTACACCCCAGGAAGATTCCTGGTACTCATTTCTGTTAGCGGCTGACACAACCCCAGGGCCATAGTGCGGCTGGAAGGATTAGGTAAATTGAAAAAAAATCCAATAACCTCATCAGGAATTAAATCTGCAACCTTTCTGCTTGTAGCATAGTGCCTCAACCAGCTAGGCTACTGTGCACCCCATTCATCATGGCTCACACATCTGTAGGAAGTAAATCATTTTAACTTAACTCCATGGTGCTGCACTTTTTCCTAAAAAGATGGTGGCTGCTAAGCTTGTCAAGATATTTCTTGCTTTTATGAAAGCCAAAAGTTTGTTACTTGTATCCCTCTGTTCATCTCTTTTTCCAGTTAATTTTTATTTCAATAAATTTATTTTTCTGGCTGCTAAAAAAGTCCACCACTGAATCCTATCATGAGCCAGTTCAAGCCAGTCTATGCTTTCACACTGCACTTTCCTATAATTCATTCAATTATTATTCTTTCATCTACTACTATGTCTCCCAAGCAAGTCTCTTCCTGTACAGTTTCATAATTCAGTTTTATATGTATTTCTCATCCCTCTCAAGCTCATGCATTTCACATGTCAATATCTCATTCTCCTTGTTTTAACACCCAAATGATATTAGGTGAAACTTCTAAAGAGCCGAAATGTACTTTATGTTATGAGATGTAATTATATAAATGTCTACAGCCCTTCATTATACCCAAAATTCTTTGGTCCAAATATTCTCTTCAGTGGTTCATCCTCATACTATCATTCTCAAGGTCCAAATATTCTCTTCAGTGGTTCATCCTCATACTATCATTCTCAAGGTCTCTTTGCTTGTGGATTTTCTTATTTTTCTTTCTACCCTGAAGATGGAGGCCATACGTTCCTCCAAAACGTTGGTTAACACCACATCTACATGGTGCCACATCCCAGAAGACTGCTTTCTTCATAGTCACCGCTGTGGAAACCTCAAATCTTACGTATATGATGACAGGTTTCATAGACTGCATTCTTCACTAAATATTTTTACAGTTATCAAATCAAGGTGGATAAGATATACAGGACATGTAGCACACATGAGGTGGATGAGAAATACATACAAAATTTTAGTCATAATAGCTCATGGGAAGAGGCAGTTGGAAGACCTAGACACAGATGGGAGGTTAACATTAAAATATATTTTCGAGAAGAGATGTGAGGGTGTTCACTGGATTCATCTGGCTCAGGACTGGTCTGATGGTGGGCGCTTATGAAATGGTACAATGAACCTTTGAATTCCAGCAACAACAGCTTAGTGAGTATTACCTTCCCATGAAGGGCTCTGCTCCATTCAGGTGCACTCCCCCCTTTTCAAGCACCTCCTTTTCATACATAAAAAGTAAAAGCCAGGTTGTAGTTTGTGGGGGGGGGGAATTGTATGTACACAGATGAACAGCAAGAGTAAAGTCATTCAAGCAGAAGGCCACAGAAGAGAATATGACCTCAAATAACCTCAGATTACAAGACATCAGCCCATCATAAATGTGATGATTATACCATTTGCTCCCCAAAGCTTTTTATCCTTGCTGGCATGTGTATCTGGCAACAAATGTGTTCTGTGATGTAACATCAGTAGCAGACAGTCCACTCTGGAGCTACTGTTCAAACATGGCTACTTCACAGCTCTGATTCACAAAATTTAGAGGTGCCAATGATTGCAAAATGGAGACTTACATAAATACTTTTCTTTTTTT